ATTCCAGCTGCTGACACTGACCCATTCTTTCTCTCTCCAAATTTAAAATGGAATAGTTGGACTAGAGCATCCCAGGTTCCATTCTTATCTCCCATTTTACAAATGGAGAAACTGAAGTCTGGGGGCAGAGTAATTCAGCTGAACACAGATGCGTATCTAGAAGTCACAGACATGCACCCCCACTCATTAGCCTCCACATGCACATGTCCCCTACACGCACACACACACTACACGTGCACACACAGACACGCGCACACACGCACACAGACACATGTGTGCATACACACATACGTGCACACAGAGACACAGGCACATATGCATGCGCACACATGTGCACGCAGACATGCATACACAAGACACACGTGTGCACACAGAGACATACACACATGCACCGTGCATGCAGAGACACAGACACACATGTGCACACAGACATGCACATACGCACACACATGCATGCATACACACATGTGCACACAGACATGCACACACGCACAAGACACAGACACGTACGTGCATGCACAGACACGCACGCACACCTCTAGAGACACGTGTGTACAGCCATGCACACACATGCATCCATGCAAACGCACACACATGCAGGCACACACAGACACACAGTGCACCCACAGATGTGTGTGCACACACGCACACACAGACACAGACATGTACACACAGACACATACGTGCATACACACACACATGCACACACACACACACACACACACAGTGAAATTCTGTTCCCAAGAACAGGGTTGGCAGTGGTGAATAGTGATGGATGCCCAGAAGCATCTTGGGGACTGGGATGCTGCTCACCCACCTTCTGGCTATGCCAGCACATGAGCCAGCCTGGAGATGGGGGTGGGTGGCGTGGGTGAGTTTCTCACATTTTCAGAGAATGCCACTTCTTGACTCGGGACCATTGAAGGTTTCTCTCTAGATCTTCACTTGTCAGAAGGAGCCCCGAGCCCTTTGGTGTCCACAGGGTCTCACCATGTTACCACAGTAAGCCTGGGGCAGAAGAAAGGACCCCCTTGTCCTGCTCTGGTAGGAGCTCCACCCACCATGCAGGTGCCACCAGTCTTCCCTGGGCTTGGGCACCCTTGACCTTTCATCTGAGCATAGATACTTTCCCCTAACCTGGCTCCGGTCACCTGCAGGCAAATGGATCCAGCCTGAGGTCCTCATCAGTGCCTGGGCAAGGAGGGTGGGAGAGGGGGGAAGAACACATGGATGCCCATCAGTTCTGCAAAAGAGAAAGCCCTGACTGGGTGGGTCAGTGGTCAGACCAGCTTCCCATTGAGTACCCTGAGGTTTGGCCCTCAAGCAGGGCAGAAATAGGACCAGTGGGGGGGCAGTGACATCAGGAAAATCTTCTAACCATGAGCATTCTCTGAGTGGAAAGCGCTGTCTGTGGAGACAGCGAGCTCTTGGTCAGCAGAGGTCTTCAAGCAGAGCCTGGTTGACTACTAGCTGGGGATGGCGCAGGGAAGGTTTCAGCTCAGGCTACCTGACTTTTGTTTACCAAAGGTGCTAAGACTTGCAGAGTCTAAGACTTGTCGTCAAGAGCACATTACTTCCAACCCCCATTCAAAGAAAAACGCCCATTTTCAGGTGGAGAAACTGAGGTACAGAAATGCCACCCATCCAGAGGAGCAGAGCCAGGTCCAAGCCTGGGGCTCCCGCACTCTGGTGTCAGGTGGGCGCCAGGGAAATGAGCGCTGTTCCCTTCAGTCTGCCCTTGCCCCCCCCCCACCAGCCCGTTCTGTGGCTAAATGCCAATAAATAAATAAATAAACAAACAAACAAACAAACAAATAAATAAATAATAACAGGTCCCATTTCGATATCACTTTAAGGTTTACACTTTCCTCACAACACCCCTGTGAGGTAGGGAGTGTAATTATGATAATCCCCATTTTACAGTTGAGGAAACTGAGGTTTGGAGAGGTGAAGGGACTTGTCCAACTCAGGTCCTCCCCCTCCAAATCCAGTGTTCTTTCCACTATGAAGAAAGGAGACTGAGTATTTGAAAATCTTCTCATATGGAAAAGGGCTATACAGTCATTCTTGAAAAAGAAGTCACAAGTTAAAAGATGTCCAGTGTTAACAGGCCTAGTTGAAAGGGCTGGCGACTGCAGTCCTCAGGAAACCACCAGCCAGCACTGGTGTTGCTCCAAGGTGAGCTCTGGCCTCCACCTCCTGGTCCTGCTCCATCCGAGTCCAGACAAGGGGCGGCTCCCCAGGCCCCTGACTCAGCCTGGGGTCCCCTAGCAGCCGATGTTCTGCCGCTGGTCTCCACTATCCACCGTGGCAAACTTTCACCCAGTTTCAATACAGATGCATAGAGACAGATACATGCCTTTATTCATGTATATGGAGCCATATTCTTTTATTATACTCAAGAAGATACAAAGTTCTGTTGATGCTTTTTTTCTCTTTTTAATTTTTTTAACAAAAATTTAGATGTTTACTAATACAGTCATATTTTGGTTTTGAAGGTTTGTTTTGTTTTTTAAACTACAAACACCCAGGCACTGAAAGTCCCCATCTCAGCTGCTGCACTCCTAGGTGCATCCTGGCCTCACTGTCTGTGGGAACAGGGCCCGGCAATGGTCACGATTAGGTGGTGGCCGTAGGGTCCCATCAGGTTCCCGTCCTCCCCCCTACAAACCTGTCCTACTCCTTGTCCAGGGCCCAGCCCGTGGAATAAGCCGGTGCCAAAGCCGTGGTCACACACGGGGCCTGCCCTCAGGGAGGGGCATCAACCCAAGCCCCCGCTTCCAGAAGCCCAAATGGTCAAAGGTCCAGCTCTGCTGGGCAAATGACACGTGCCCTCCTCAGCTGTGCCCACTGCCCGCCCGGCACCGGGTCTGGACAGAGAGTTCTGGTGGCAGGTCCCCTCCCCCCACCCAATGCCCTCCACTCCTCTTGCCTTCAAGGTCAGAATGAAGCTGGCCCTCGGAGGCTGATCACAGAACCCAGAGCCAGGCCCAGCGGGTGGCCCAACCTCCAGCATCAGCCTTGACTTGCCCAACCCCAAACCCACCGCCAACTTCCTCCTTCCCGTGACATCCAAGAAACCCAATTCTTTCCAGCTGAAAACTAACCCACAGCCTCAATGTTAGTTCAAAAGCTAAATAAACTCTTCATTTTAAAGGAAAAAAGTATTAAATTCACAGTTCAGAGGCAAAGCAAAGTGCTATCTTCTTGGTGACTAACCCCTACGAGGCCCAGCCTGGGCACCCCCGTGCCAGCCCATGCCCACAGTGCCCTCTCCCCTCCCCCCCGCCCATCTCCATCATTCAGCACCACGCAGGTTAACAGTTAAGAAAGAGCCAGGTCAATAAATGTGGACCTGGCAGGAGGGGCAGGGGGCAGAGGGCTGAGGCCAGGAGGAGGGAATTCTGAAGGTGGCCCATCAGAAGGGACTTGGCAGGGAAGGGGACAGACGTTTTCAAAAGCAAACTCTGGTTGTATGAGGCTGGGAGCTCTGGAGGGAGGGGGTGCCCGGTAGGGGTTTCTCTCCCCCCCTCCCAAGCCCCCTGGAATCCACAGATTGCGCAGTGGTCCCGTGTCCTCCAAACGTGATGGCAGTGGTGATTAATGAGATCCTCCCGGGTGATTCAATGCTCTTCTCATTTAAAAACAATTAAAAAAAAAAACAAAACCAAAAACAAACAACTGTTGGACTCTAGCCCTGAGGGAAAAAAGGGAGAAAGTCAGAGTTGACCCAGTTTAGGAAGGAGCCCAAATCCCCAGCGACACCATTCTCGATCCCCATCCCCCCAAACCTCCGCATGGGCTGGGCAGGAACCCAGGCGCTCCATCTCCTCTCCCCCGAACACCAACCTCTCCCTGTAGAGGAGCTAGTGACAGGCTGGGGACAGCCTTCAGGGACCTTCTTAGAGCCAGGGGATCTACGTAAAGGAGGCACTCTGGGGCACCCAAAATGGAGTGGGGAGAGGCTGCAACCTGGGACTTTGTCCTGGCTATCCCGGACCATCAAGGAGGCATGGGGTGGAGGCTCGGGAGGGAGACGGTGGTGTGGAGGGCAGCTCTGGGCAGAACTCCAAGAGCCCGTGGGGCTAGCGATAGCAAAGCTCTTGTCTTCTCAAGGAGAGGGGAGGAGAGGACAAGAGGGAGAGAATCGAGAGCTCAAAACTTTAAAAAAGTGTTCAAAAAATTGTTACATGTAATTGGGAAATATTTAACGAAATAAATAAAAATTGTATTTTAAAAAAAGCACACGGGGCTGTTTGGGCAGACTTTGGGGCAGGGGAGAGAGCAAAGGGGACTGGCAGAGCTGGATCCTCGCTGTCCCCTCACTTTCTCGCCATTATTCTGGCCATTTCATGGTGAGATCAAATCTTTGGGTGGCTCATCTGCCGCAAAGGGGCTCCCCTCCTGGGAGTCTGGGGAATCGCAGCCCGCAAGCACCGTCAGGGTAGGGTGTCCCGAGGCTTGAGGGAGCTCAGAAAACCCTCCAGATCGGTAGATGCTCTTTGGTCAGTCAGGAGGCTTGGGGAGCAGAGGAAGGCTGAAGCTCGCTGGGATGCAGGGTGCTGCTTGGTGAGCAGCTCCGCTGGGTGGCGGTCGCGCATACCGACCGACTGGGGGTGTTTGGGCCGTTTGTGAATGTGAAGGGTTCGGCAGCCCTGATCTTCCAACGACGCTGCCAGGGAACAGCATATGCTGAGAGTGCTCCAAGAGGCTCCCGGCCACTAGGATGACCATGGCAAAGAAGAAACCCATAGGGCCCCTTTCTCCCTGGGCAGTGATGGTGGCAGAGGAGGCTAAGAACATCTAGAAACATCCATTTGACAACTGACACCCTAAGTGTGAGATCACAGGCATTTAAGTGGCTCAGATGGAGACAAAACTGGACCCAGACTCGAGTTCAAATCCTTCAGACACTTGCCAGCTGTGTAACCCTGGAGAAGTCACCTAACCTCTAAAGGCTTGCCTCAGTTTCCTCATCTGTAACATGGGGATAACAGTAACCCCTCCCTCCCAAGGCTCTTGTGAGGATGAAATGACACAATATTGATAAACCTTAAAGCTCTTTATAAGGGCTAGCTGAGCTACTGAGGTAGAATTCCAACCCAGGTCTTCCTGACTCCAAGCCCTTTGCTCCATGCTGCCAACGAGTTGAAGTACAACTGCAGGAAGGGTCATGGGATTTATGGGAAGACACGGAAAAAGCCCATGAAGAACAGGAGGGTGTGGCTGGGCTCTGACCTTCCCCACTCAAGGAGATCCCGGAGCCTCTGAGGCCCTGCAGCAAGATTGGCTGAGCCCAGTACGCCAAGCAGCTCTCTGACCATTCCGTCACAACTAGCCCGTGTCCGGTTCAGAGGGTGGGCCAGGCTGGAGCTTGGTAGGTTCTGCTGGCCTGGGCTTTCAGCTAGTGGCTCAGAGACCCATTCTCCAGACGCGGCTGGGCATCTGTTAGCCCTTTCTCTGCCGGGGGATTGTCCCACCTCCTTCTCTGTTTTCGTGGGTCCTGGATGACATCTTTCATGCCCCTTCTAGCCTGCCTGTCATCATTGGTGACAGGCTACTGCCCACTCAGCTCCACTGCCTTCACCTCCTGTCTCCCATTCCCTTTCTGATCACCCACAGTCTTTATTCTTAGGGTTTGAAGATTTGTAACGTATAAATTTGTAAATCTGTAAAGTGACATCAACTGGAGAATGATGGGTTTTTGCATCAGGGAGGAACTTGGGATCACTGAAAGTGCTATCTGGCTCACGCTTCACCTCTAAGTCATGTCTCTATCATGTCTGTCCCAGATACATGTCCCAATGGGTGACCACAATGAGCTGCTTCACATCAAAGCCTTGGAAAGGGGCTTTGTGAACCTTGAAAACCTTCCCTTAGCTAGCATCCTAGATCTCATTTCCTGAAAAACTTCTCTGGAGGGTTGTCTACACCTATGTCCTCCATAGCCTCATCACCCATTCACTCCTCGATTAGGTAAAGTCTGCCTTTGAGCTCGGCCATTGCTCTTTCAAAGGTCACAGGTGGTCTCCTGACTGCTGAGCAGGCCCTAACCACTCCCTCTCTTCCTTCTTTGTATCTGACCACCTTCCTCTTTGCATATCTAGGTTGGGGCGTCTCCCAAAGCTTTGCACTTGGGCCTCTTCTGCCTCTACAAGTCTCTCCCTTGGCGACCTCATCAGTTCTTCTGGGTTGGTTCCATGATCTTGTCTCTGAGGTTGTGTCCCAGCTCTCTCCAGCCCCACCCTCCAGATCTCCATCATCATCCCACACCCCAACTGCATCTCCAATTCGAGATGCCCATCTCTGCCCTTCCTCCCAGCTTCCTGATTTTTGGCATTGCCCATGTTACCCAAGCTAGAAATGTCCAAGTTAAAAACTTTTTACATTTTTAGTTAAAAACGCTTCCTTCTACCTCCCCTTCTGCACCCCACCCAAAGAGCTGCCAAGCTCTTTCAGGCCCATCTCTGTCATCTCTTGCATCTATCCCTTTCTCCCTCCACTCCTATGGTCCCTCACCATCCACAAGGAGCCCCCTCTTCCCCTCAGACTCTACACAGAGCAGCCTCCACTGCAGCAATGGAAAACATTCTTGGGGCGTATGTTTCCCTGTCTGTCTGACCCTGGTCATCAGAGAATGGTTGGGCATGGTTAACTCTCAAGATCATTATAGATCTTGACCGTGCACCAAAGATGCTTTGTTGGAGAAGACCCAACTTTTCCAAGTCAAAATCGATAAACGCCACTGAATTGTGTCTCCCCTGAACCTTTCAGTCAATTGTGTGGCTACAATGATGTCACTTGTGGCAGAAAACTGGCTGTAATAGCCTGCCTGTTCTCTCTGTTTTCATCCAGGATGCCTTCAATACCTGTGTAGACCATTCTCATAAGATTCTGTAAAGGCGGGAAAGGAGGCTACGGGGTGACGTTGGCTTACATGTTCTTGGTCATTTTTTATGGAGGATGTAATAAGATTGAAGATTCGAAGGAATTTCAGAGAACATGTAGTCCAATCTCCTCATTGCAGCCGGGAAAACTGAGGCCCATAGAGGTTAAAGAACTTGTCCAAAGACACACAGGCAGTAAGTATTGGGAGTGTGATATGAACTCGTGTCCTCTGATTTCAAATAATGACTGTTTCATCTTTTATATTTTTATCCCTGGTGCCTAGTATAGTGCCTAGCACACAGTAGGTGCTTACTAAATGCTCATTGATTGATTTACACTCTACCATATTGCATCCCTGATAAAGTAACTATCTGTAATTTTTCTCTTTCAGCATCTTCTCAGAAAATTAATTCCTTGTAATTAATTATTTAGGAATGAATTAATTCCTTTTAAGTACTTTTAATATCATATCATTTCCAGCATGGATTTTTTTTTTGGCAGAGGGGGAAGGGTGGATGAATTTGGTCGGGTCTGGCCATTCTTCCCAACTTAAACATTCAGTCTATTCTTACTTCCTCTGCAGCGCATGGATCAACAGAACAGGGTCTCCAAATTTGGCAGGTCCACTGTCACAGATGATAACAGATGATTATAGACCATTTCCGATTTTCCTGCCAGTCCTGCCTGCCCTCAGGAGGCCCCTCAGCTTGGGCAGATCACACACACTAATTTTCTCCTCCACAGACTTTCACTGTGTTGTGAGGCGACACTATTCATTACCTTTTGTCAGCGATCAGCGAACACCTATTAAGTGCTCGCTATGAGCCAAATGCTATTCGAGGTGCTGGAGAAACAAAGGAAAAAAATTAAACAGTCCTTGCCCTCAAAGAGCTTCCCTTCTGTTAGAGGAAGCCTTCAGTCCTCCATATTTTACAGATAAGTCTGTATCTTAGGCATTCCCCTTGGCTACCATGTGTCCAACTGGCAAGGAGGGCCTGAGTCGGCTGGCTAAGGCGTTCTGGGGGCTCTTCGGGGCTCCTCGTGGTGGTGACTGCTGGCCATCAGTTAACCGCCTCTAAGATGCTGATGGATGGACTCCTCGTCTTCACTTTTATCCCTTTCCCATTTTTCAGCCAGTAGCTTATTCAAAGAGGAGAGAGTGGGAGTTGTTGACGGAGCGTTGCCTTCTTTCTCATTCGGCGTTGACTTTTACCACTGCTCTAACCAGCCGATGGTCAACAACACTGCTGACGACACACAGATCCCCAATTCAGAGATGACTCCCCTGAGCACTGCTGTGCACTACAAGCTTCTCTGAAGTAAACTGTGCAGAAGGGTCAATGGTTTCCTCTAAAAGAATGTAAGCTCGGTGAGGGCAGGCACTGTCACATTTTTCTCAGGTCGAATGTTCAGCATCTTCTGACTTTCTTGTTGAAGACGGTATTCATGACCCAGGCAGCTAGGTGTATTATAGAGTGCTGGACTTCAGAGTCAGTGAGATCTAGCCTCATCTGCTTCTTGCCTGTGTGAAAGCTCCCAAAAAATTAATTCCTATTAACTAGTTAGGAATCAATTCTCTTTAAGTGCTTTTCACCACCTCAGTTTCCTTTTCTGTAAAATGAGTTTTGGTCCTTTCTCATTTTTTAAACCTGAGCCATATGTCCAATGTATCTTTCATCTTCCTCCCCGGCACACTGGAGTCACTGGGTATCACTCCACGCCGCTGCCGATCCAACGTGCATGTTCCCAGTTTCCTCTTCTCTCTTTCTTTTGTCTCTCTCCCTCCTTAGGCCCCCACCCCTCCCTCGGCTGGAATCTCATCAGCTCTCATAGGTTTAACTCTCATCTCCAAGCCGATGACTCCCGGGTCTCCACAGCCAGCCCCAGTCTGTCCCCTGAGCTTTAGCTCTGCATCGCCACCTAGCTACTGGATACTTCACACCTCATTTCTCAGAGACATCTAGAACTCACCAGAACCAGAACCGACTCATTGTCGGCCCCTCTAAGCCTGCTCTCTTCCAAACATCTCCACAGCTGTCAAAGGTCTTGCCATTCTCCCAGGCTTTTGGTCTCGGTCTTACCCTGAGCTCCCCAGGCTCCTCTCCCCATCTTGTCTAATTAGTTACATCCCAGCCCTTGTCGCCACTCTCCATGGCCGCCATCTTGGTTCAGACAAGCATCGCCCCTTGCTTGGATTATTGCAGTGGCCTCTTAAATGGTCTCCTTGTTTCATGTCTCTCCTCTCTCCAGTCTGTCCTACATGCTACTGCCCAAGTGATGTTCTTCAAGCCCGGATCTGATCGTGTGAATCCCCTTCTGAATAAATCCAGTGGCTTCCTATTGCCTCTAGGATAAAAAACACAGCCCTGTTTTGTTTTTAAACACTCTCACTGGGCGTGAGTCCCCTTCATGCGTTCTGTGGGCCACCCAAGCTGGCCTTCTCTCTGTTCTTCATACATGACACTCATTGCCCATGCCCATGCCTAGAAGGTGTGCCCTTCTCACCTCCGTCTCAGAGAATCAGAGGCAGTTCAGGCACCGGCTTCTGCACAAAGCCTTTCCTGTCACTTTTCCCCCTCCCAAGCCATCTTGTATTTGATAACCTGGAATATATTTGTATTTATTCTGTTTATGAGAGATTTGTTATCTCTCCCCTTCAAATGTGAGTTTCCTGAGGGCAGGGACAACTTCTTTTTGTCTTTATATGCTCCAGGACCTAGAAGGGTGCTTAGTAAATACGGGTTGATTGATATATGCCAACTTGACTGGGATGCTCTTGTCACATTCTTTTTAAATTTTCTGCACCTCTTCATCCCCCTCAACAGTGAGTCCTTCCTCCCTTCTCTGCAGAGGTGGGGGCCTATGGGTATGGAATACTGCTCATACTGTCAGATGGGATGGATATGCTCATTTTGGTGAATCCCTTCTTTCCCTCTTTCTTATTCTTGATTACAAGGAATGGCTCTCTGGGGAGAAGAAGGTGGGAAGAGATCTTGGGAAATGAAAGTAATGAGACAACAAAAGAGATCAGCAATAAAAAAGAAAGAAAAAAGAACCACCCAGATATGGGTCTATAAATTACAATTATTTTCACGATGGTCCTTTGCTTGTGCTTCTCATGACCCAGCAGCTAGGACGCCCAGTGGTTAGAGCACTGGGCCTGAAGTCAAGAAGACTGAGTTCAAATCTGGCTTCAGACACGTCCTAGATCTGCGACCCTGGGCAAATCACTTAACTTCTGGCTGTCTCAATTTCTTCAACTGTAAAATAAAGATATACTAGCACCTACCTTGCCAGGTTGTGAGGATCAGAGGAGGTAGTGTTTATGTTTTTTTTAAAAAAAAGGCACTTAGCTCAGTGCCTGGTGCACAGTAGGTGCTTGACAAATTCTTGTTCCCTTTCTTCCATGGCCAGTGAGCTACCCGTGCCACGACAGGCCCACCAAGATGCCAGCTCTGCCAGCCTCATTCTCTTGCCTCTCCATGGAAGGCAGGGCCTCATCTTCCTACTGCGGTTTTATTCACAGAGGATCCCAGCAGGGACACGGGCCACTCAAGGAGAGGAGCCCGTCTCTCGATGTCCTACAATGCCACCTCGCTGCTCACTGGCCACGGATCTCACGCCCAGAGTGCCAGTAGTTACACAGTTGTTCACCAGGGGACTCACTCATCACAGAGCCAGAACTGGAGGGGCCGCGGAGGCCGGACAGTCCAACCTCTTGATTTTATTTATTCATTCATTCATTTATTAATTGGCAATTGGGGTTAAATGATTTGCCCAGGGTCACTCAGCTAGTAAGTGTCAAGTGTTTGGTCTGAGGCTGGATTTGAACTCAGGTCCTCCTGACTCCAGGGCCAGTGCTCTCTCCACTGCGCCACCTAGCTGTCCCTTAACCTCTTGATTTTACAAAGGAGGAAATTGGGGCTCAGAATGGAGCTACAGTGGCAGAGAGCAGGAGGGTCGGGTTTTGAACTCAGGTACGCCCTGCCTCCAAACCCAGGGCTTTGGTACTGAACCCTGCTTTCCCCCAGACACTGGACCCCAGCTTTGGGACCTCTGCTACCATCACCGTGGGGCTGGGAGGATGGCAGGCCACTCCCAAGGGCCTCCTCACTTAGAGGGCAGATGGATGGCGGCGAGCCTCTCCCAGCTTGGGCTGGCATTTGGAAAGCAGCCGCAGGGTCTGCGGCTGGGGCTGCCCACCAAGCCTGTCCACTGTGGGCTCCCCTGGCAGAGGCTGTGGGAGGCAGAGTCTCTGGGCATACAAGGAGGGCTCAGGGAGGGCTTAGCATCATTATTCAGGAAGCTGGCGGGCAGGACGAGGGGAGTCTCGTCCAGATCACCCCCACAGGAAGCAAGGCTTGGGCTGCCGCGGGAGCCTTGTGTCTCTCGAGTAGGGTGGAGGGCCCACACGCTGGAGATGCGACAGAGAAAGGGGTGAGCCTGGATGCCTCAGAGAGTCTGGGCCAGGTGGGGCAGCTTGTGCCCGTCTCTGCCAGGGTAGGCTGGCCAGGCAGGCTGGTTTGGGAGCAGGGCTTCCTCAAGTGTCCCCAAGTACTCGAACAAAGGGGGTTGAGACACCCACGTCCCAGGTCAAGTGGCTCTGTGCCCGACAGTGAGAAGGGCCATTGTTCAGATCCCATCGGGGAGGGAAGAATCAGACAGAATGTTGGGGGTGGGGGGTTTCAGCCTCAGAGCCCACCCAGGGCACCAACTTGCTTCCTCTCAGGCTTCCTACAAGGAGGGGTTGGCAATGGGGTGGGGCAAGGACGTTCTCCCTCCCCCTTTCAAGCAACTGGAGACAATCCACGTAGAACACACTTCTCTGTGGCCCCCAGACCCATCACTGGCGCCAGAGGTGGGCACCCTGCTCCCTCTGCGACCCCTCTGGGGAGCCTGTCCCCCTGTCCTGAGCCCAGGCCCAGGCCTGGCTTCAACCAGAACGGGGGAGGGCCGGGACACTCCAGGGATGAGGGAGGGCCAAGCATGCAGCCCCACACAGGGTTAATTAGGAGGCTCGGGCCCCAGCAGAGCAGAGCAGAACAGAACGTACCAGGCATGCAAGTTAGACCCAGGAGTCAACGGGCGGTGGCTTAGGGTCCCGGCCGTCCACCAGATTCACTGAAGCCCGGTTACTCCTGTGGGGGGGCTTTCTAGCCGGGTCTGTCTGCAGCAGGCAGGGCAGGGGCAGGGGTGGGCATTAAAAGCAAAACAGAGGAGGTTAATCAGACGCTGACAAGAGGCAGAGGGGAGCATGGGGCACGGATGGACGGACGGACGCTGACGGACGGACGGATGCCACCTCGGCAGCAGAATTAGTGATGAAGAGGCAGAGGAGGGAGACACAGAGCCACCCCCCACCCTCACCTCGGGCTGGGTGTAAGGGCAGCCCGCTGCGTGGGAACGGGGGGAGGGCACCACCAACATCTCTTGGAGGGCGGGGAGGCAGGAGCTCTGGCTTCTGTCCTCCTCCTCTCCTCCTCTCACTGGGTGACCTTGGGGCAATCGCTTTCTCTCTCTGCTTTTTCCCAATAAGACAAAGGGGCTGGATCCCATTTCAGCCCTAAGGGCCATTCCAGGACCCTAGTTCCAAATCTTATGAATCTCACCGGGCCTCAGTTTCCTCACATGTAAAATGGGAGCTCATAGGATCATGAGACTTCATGCTGGAGAGGTCATAGATCACCTGTTGAGAGCTAAAAAGGACTCCAGAGGCACCTTTATTTTGCCAAGAAGGAAAGTGAGGCCCAGGGGCTGCAGGGGCTGGAGGCTTCTCCTGGAGCAGAAGCTGATGTGCCACGCCCAGAGCGGGTGGGGAGGCCCAGCAGCTCAGCCTCTGGGAGGGAGGTCCGGCTGACCCTGCTGAGAGGGGAAAAGCAGCCCTCTCTGTCTCTCTCCTCCCACCCCACCCCCTTGAGCTGTCTCTTTCTCCCCACCTTGCTCTCTGTCTCTGTTTCTGTCTCTGTCTCTGTCTGTCTCTTTCCACCTCTCTCTCTGTATCTCTGTCTCTGTCCCCACCTTTCTCTTTGTATCTCTGCTTCTATCTCTTTATGTCTCTGTCTTTCTGCCTGTCTCTCTCTCACACACACAGACATATGGACTCACACACTGACACATGCAGATGTCAGAGCTCCCCAAAGAACCAGAAGCCGGACAGGAAACATTGGAGGCAGCAGGTGAGGGTGGGGGGGAGGGCAGCAGGGCTGAGAAGGTGATGGGCCTGGGGCTGCCTCCCTCCTGGGCAGCAGTCTGGACCTGCCACACTGGGCCTGGGGCTCCCCAACGCTGACCAAGCACGGCTGGGGGAGGGGAGAGTGGAGAGCTGTCCTGATGTGTGCATGGGATGAGCCCCGGTGAAACCTTGGCTCCTTCCTGGGACCCTCTCCTCCTCCTCAACCCCCCTATAGGGCCTGAATCTCCCCCCCACAATATGCCCACAACCGACCCCCACCTGGGAAGAGACACTTTGCAGTAGGGGACTCTAGGAACGAGTCTCTCTAATGGAATTGCAGGCGTTTAACCTTTGTGTTGCTACCCTAATCCCACTCCCAAATCTGCATCCCGTAAAGTCCCCAGCATCCTTCACCACAGCCTAGAGTGCACCTCCTGGGATCCCCCTGAGGGCGGCCATCTCCCTCTCCCCCTTGAAGTTACTCAGCCTCACTTCAGACTCAGGTCCCATGGCGAATGTAAGCTTCTGAGGGGAGGTCCACATGGGCTCCAAAGCCAGGCACACAGTAGGTGCTCAACCCGCTTGTGAACTGCCTCTTCAGCCCTGGCCTGTGTGCTGCAGGCCCCACCAGCTGCCTGGGGGCATCTCTGGCTGGACGCTCCCCCCGAAAGCCTCAAGCCCACCACCTCATTCTTTCTCCCTCAGACCTCGACCACCCCCGACTTCTCTTCTGCTGATAGCCCAAAGGTCCTCCCCAAGTTACTCAGGATGGAAGCCCAAGGTCACCTGAGCTCCTCTGTGCATCCGACTGGGAGCCCCCCAAGGGCAGGGACTGTGCTTCTGCCTTTCTTTGTATACCGTGCTCTGCATGGTGCCTGGCACACAGTAGGTGCTTAATAAGTGCTTGTTGGCTGTTTCCTTGATTCCATTTCTACCGCTCTTCCCCTTCTATCATGACAGCCCCCACCCTCGTTCCAGCCCTCCTACTTCTGACCTGGAGCAACGTCCTTCCCAGGAGATCAGCAGCCCCCAGCTTTGGACGGCTCGGGGGCTGACGCACTGATTTCCTTACAGCTCTCTAAAGTAGACAGCCCCCTAACTGGCCACTGCTCTCTTCCCTCCAGGTGCCTCTGGACTAATCTTCCCGATCACATCACCCCCCACTCAACAACACTGCATGTTTCTATTTATAAGTTGGATTCTCACTCCTCACCCTGGCATTCAAAGCCTCCTCTAATCCAGTCTGGGCTCCCACTACTTGCGCCTCCTTCCCAGCAATTTGTCCCTCGCTCACTGTTCAGTCTGTTAGGGCACGCTGGCTTGTCTGGCCGCTCGAGGCCTGTGGGGCCCCTCTCAGCTCTGGCTCTATGATGCCCCAGCCAGACCGTCAGCTCCCAGAGTGCAGGGGTGCGTGTATCCACCGTGGGTCATGGACAAGAGCTGGGTGCACAGTCAGCCTTCCACAAGAGCCTGCTGACTGACCGCTCCTCCTTTCCCACTACGGAGGCTGCCACCTACTCTGCTGAAGCATGAGGCCAGTTCTACATGCATCCACACACGCATACGCGCACGCACTCCCACGTACGCGGCCATCCACACGTCCTCAGCTCATCGCCATGGGAGTGAGCCTAAATGCCCATCCCTACCATTGCCCGTCTGGCTGGGAAAGGGGTCAGGGTTGAATGACTAAACCTAAAAGTAGAAGGAAAACAGATATTTGGGGAACATCCACGGAGGGGAATTTGTGGGTGAACTGTTTGAGCAAATGGAAGCCGAGGGTTGGGTGTGAGAAACGTTCCCTTCACCTTGGCAGGAGGGCTTAACACTCAGCTCTGAGCTGACAGATTCTGAGACAGAGGGTCTAGGAGGACCACATGCCCTGTGAGCCACTCCCTAGCCAGGCGGGATCCCAGGGAAGGGCTCCCCACAACCGTCACTTACTTTCAAAGGCTCCTTCTCAGAGGCGTCACCTGAGGGGTCCCCAGCTCGGTATTTCCGTTCCCGGTGGTCGATGGTGGAGTAGCCATCTAAGTAAGGAAGTCAAAAACAAAGACAGCGCATTACAACTCAAGGGCCTTCCCACAATCCAGAGAGGGAGGCAGTGGGAGGGTCAGCATCCCCATTTCACAGATGAGAAAACCGGTTCCACCCAAAGACCTGCCAGAGCAGTTGCCAGGAGCCCAGCGCTCAGCCTCTCGGCAGACACAGTCCACCCACCGTAACCAGGACCTTCCTCAGCTCGGTTCAGATGCTCTCTCCCTCACCGCCTATGCTCTCCTCCTGGCCTTTGGGGCCTGGAGAAGCAGCAGCCCCTTTCCTTGTGGCCCTGATCCCATCCCCTACCCCCAGGAAGGGCCCCTCCCATCCTACCGGAGTTATGGAAACATGGAATCCCCTGCTGCCTACAATGCCGGCCTTCTCCCCTACACTGACTGAACCCTGCCATCCCCTTAAGCTCTTCCCACAGTCCTCTTTTCCAACAGTAAAAACTAGTAGACAAATAGCAAGTCTTCGACGTTTCCTGAGCCTAGCATTTCATCTCTCATCTCTACACCTTTGCACAGGCTGTCTCCCACGCCTGGAATGCCCTCCCTCCTCACCTCCACCTCTGGGAAACCTGGCTTCCAAGGCTCCTCTCAGGGGCCACCTCCTAAAGTAAGGGTCCCTCTCCTCAATTATCTGGGGTTCATGTCTCTGTGTCCATGCTGTACCCCCTTCCCACCCCTCCCCACCCTTAAGAATGTAAGCCCCTTGAGGGAAAGAACTCATTTTTATTTTTGTCTCTGTATTCCTAGCACTCAGCACAGGACTTTGCATAAGGTAGAGGCTTAATAAATGCCTATTAAATTAAACTAACATGGGCTGACTGGAGGTGGATCAGTTCCTTCCATGTATAGAGAGAGCCTAGCCCTGGGAGAGGTACGGAGCTAACTGCCTGCCCCTGTGGCCTTCCCCGTCTTACACTCTACACCCCCAAGTCCCAGCCCACCTCTGGCATCCCTTTTGGCTAGGAGACAGCATGCCTTGGTGGGCAGAGTGGCAGATGTGAATTGAAAATCAGGGTGTGAATCCTGCCTTTGACACGTTCTAGCTGTGTGACCTTGGGGAAGTCACTGTTCTCAGGTCCTCAGTTTTCTCCTCAGTAAAATGAGGGACTAGAGCCACTGAGGTGCCTTCTAGCTCTGGATCTAGGGTCCTATAACCCCCACCTCCATTCCCCACCTTTTCCCGCTGCTTCAGTGCCTTTAATTCCTGAAAGTTTCCCTGGTAGACGGGTCCTGGACTCAAGTAGCTCAGAACCCCCATGTTCTAGATCCCTTGACTCCAGGACCAGGGCTCTTTCCATTACATCAATGCTGCATTTGAATCCTGATTTCAACACTTACTCTCTACTTGGCCTTGGAAAAGCCCCTTCCCCAGTCCAGGCCTCCATTTCCCCATGTGTAAAATGGGGAGGTAGAGCCAGATGCCCTTTGAGATCCTTCTCGAACCCCAGAAGCCTACTTCGATGGGGGACTGAGGTGGGGGAGAAGACAAATGGGCCTTTACAAAGGGATAACCTAATGATCACAGAAATCGTGGGGCTCTGGACCCTTGGAAGGGATCACACGGACTCATTTGTGTTCCATTTCCCTTATTAGCTGTGACAGATGGAGCCTCCCATCTCATCTGGCAGCCCCGTCACCTTCATTAAGGGACAGGCAGGCATGTTTCTTGGGCAAGCTTGTCTTCCCTCACAAGGGAGGGAAAGGCATCAGTTTTCCTTCCTGTAAAGTTGAGTTTTCTGGATGGCCTGAGCTTCCCCCAAGCCATGCCTCCTCTCTGTTCAGTTCTCAAGAGGACCTGCGCTCTCTGGGGACAGTCGTTAGGGGGACTTCTAGTGGCTGTCCGCTCCTCCCAGCCATGTCCAGGGCCCCTGACACTGTCCTTAGTGGGACTCTGCCCCTGGCAGACCTCCGAAGAACCCCAACTCCCAAACCTAGGCTCTTTACCCCCAATCATCCTGGCTCTGGGTGCCATCACCAGACACCAATATCTCAGCACACAGGAGCTCTCTGGGTCAGGGAACGAAGCCCAGGGGGTCACTCTGAGCGGGAAGGGGGCAGCAAGCCCTTGTCTAGGAGGAAGGACGACTCATCCTGGACCTTGCCAAGGCTCAATTTCAATGCCAAGAAAGTGGGGATTTGTCAGACCAGGGTGATGGGGGGGGGTCGGCTGGACAGCACGGTCTCTGATGCTGCTGGCTCTTACATTCTAAGACTCTGTGGCACACTTAAAGACTTCTTGGAGTGCCAGTGGAGATGCCCCCCAAATCTCTTCCATGGACCCAGTAACTCCTAAAGCCAATGTAGATACTTCCAGGTCCCTGAGACCCTAGCTTGGTCCCAACTGTGAGCCCCAAAGGTCAGACCACCTCTCGCTCCCACGAGGCATGAAGATCAGGGGAGGCGGAAATAAAAGGAAGACTGCGCTGAGGGCATGTATACTAAAGACCACCTGGATAGAAGGAGGAAATGGATCAAAAACCTGGCCCAGAAGCAAGATATCATAGTGGGGGAGGGGAGGGCAGCCTCCATCATCCAGACATCCTAGCGCTTTGCCCTAACCTGAGCAGGTAATAGGCTAAGTCTATGACCTCACCTTCAAAAGATGGGGGAAGGATCAAAAGAACTGCTAATTTTGGCCCTCATCGAGCCAACACGAGGTAAGAGGTTAAAAGCAGCCTCGCGCCCACTCCTACTCAGAGTGATGGCAAAGACGAGGAAAGCCAGGCACGGCCGAGGTTCAGGAGAGCAGACTTCCAAGAGTTTGGAGAGATGACAGATAGCACTTAATGGACTTTGGCTTTGCAGGAGAAGCTGGCTCCTGGGCCAGCACAGGGAACTTTCCAGAAGGAGAGAGGACAAGTGCCACTGAGCCACACGACCTCCACCGGCTTCCCCCAGGTTTCCCCTTTGTACGGTCTTCTCTCTGCATTTAGTTTTCTCCAGTTAGATGATGGGTGAGTGAGGAGAGAATGATGCAGATGAGCCAGGAGTTCAGGGACAGGCTCAGATAAAAAAAAAAAAGATGTTTGGAAGATGGAAACACGGGAAAGTAACTGAGGCAAAATAAAAAAGCCATTCCTACCCTCCCTGCTTAGCCTGGTGCCTGGCATACAGTAGGCGCTTAATAAATGAAAGTTGTCTGACCTATAAAAGAGGGACCCTTAACCTGGGGTTTGTGAACTGCTTTTAAAGCGTCCTTGGATCACTGTATTTCATGAAAATTGGTATCCTTTGGAATCCCCTGCATTTCACTTTATACATTTAAAAACATAATTCAGAGAAAGCGGTCCACAGGCTTCTCCAGACTACCAGACGGGCCAGGACACACAAAAAAGGTTATGAACTCTTGTGAGAGGGACAGTGTCAGGAGCCCTTAAGGAAGGAAACAAATCTTTGTAAAGCACCTACTATGTGCTAGGCATGTAATAAGTGCTTTACAAATAGTGCCTCATTTCATCCTCACAACAACACTGGGAGTAGGTTCTATCATTATCCCCATTTTATAGCTGAGAAAACTGAGGCAGAGGTTAAGTGACTTGACCAGAGTCACACAGCTAGGAAGTGTCTGAGGCCAATCAAGTCTTCCAATCGCCAGGCTCACAGCTCTAACCACTGTACCACCCAGCTACCCAGAAGGAATCAGGGCGGCAGAATGACCAAAAGGTGGGCTTTTTTTTTCTTTTTTTAGTGATGGCAAAGCACAACAGGTATCGAAGAAGGCACAGGACCACTGCTCAGGGTGGACCAGCTGGCACATAGTAGGAGCTTATAGATGTCAGCTGACCGATGCCATTAGATGATGGCAAGAAGGCTGAGCTGCTCATCTGGTGCTGGCTTCTCTCCTCTTCCCAGGAGAGCGAATGTTGGACCCAGAAGGCCACAAGGAACTGGCCAGCGAGGGAGTGGAGACTCCAGCTAAGGAGGAGCTGGCCAGGGCTCGCCGGCTGCTTTCAGGGAGCTCGGGTCACCATGCATCGACGTACAGAGTCGTTTGCATATTGTCCCTCCTGTGCCGGGGAAGTCTTCACCTGCTTGGGGTGGCCATCCCCCTAACTCACTGACACGTTTGAGGCCTGTCTGCTGGTTTCACCAGGGTGTGGCTGCCGTGCGTGCTGCAGCTTCCACAGCCACAGGTGAGAGCCGGGTGGCAGGTGGACACCAAAAGTGGACGAGCAGCCCTGAAGGGCTCGGCAGCCCTCCCTGAACACCCTACCTGTCCTACACATAGGCTCAAAAAGGCCAGCGTCACAAATGCAGGCTGGCAGAAAGCATGGCTGGTCAGCAGCTTGGCCAAAAAGTCATGGGTTTTGGTGGTAGAGTCAAGGAAAGGACCTGGAAACCAGACAAGCCAGCTACTTTCAGGCGGTATTATGTCAGGTGTGGGGCCTCTGATGAGTAGAGAGCTAACAGTTCTGCTTACAGGGACCCCACCCTGGGCAGATGCTTCTGGTTCCCCATTTCAGGAAAATCCTCGACAAGCCAGAACGTGTCCAGAAGAGGAGGCTGAGGATGGGGAGAAGTCTGGGAACCTGTATCCCAAAGATCGGTGGGAGGAGCTGGCTGTCAGAGGATGATAAGTTTGGAGCTGGGAGAAATCCTAGTGATCCCCTAGGTTCCACCACACCTTTTACAGATGGAGAAACTGAGGCCCAGAGAGGTTAAGTTTGCCCTGGAGGTGATTTAAAGTCAATTACTTCAAAAACGTCTTGGTTTAAAAAAATAACAGTTTTATGGTCAGCCTGAGGAAGAGAAGACGTTGGGAGGACAGACATTAGCTGTCCTGAAGTATCTGAAGGCCTGTCATGGGGAAAAGGGCTTGGCCCCAGGGTAAGACCCATCAGCGATGGTGGAATGGGATGTGAAGAAACCTCTCTTAACCTCTGGAGCTGTCTGGAAGGGGACTGGGCCGCTTCTGGAGGTGCTGGGGGCCCCTTTCTTGGAGGCCTGGAAGTAGAGGTAGGAAGATGGCCTCCCTGGAGAGGGGAGCAGTCATGATGGCCAGTGAGGTCCTGGGCAATGCTGCAGCTGTGTGACTCTGGCTAGCCATTCACTGATTCCAGGGACTGATACAGAGTTGGCCTGAACTTTGGGGGTGGATGGGCAGAGTTATAATTGCTGGCCACCAGGCCCTGAGCCTTCAGACTAGTGTTTCCTCCTAATGTGCCCTGGGTAGGTCCTGAGGTACTTGGAGATCCACATGGGGGACCTCTGGGGCAGATGGAGAGCTTGGGGTGCCATGTTCTCTGTCTTGCCTTCCATGGGGATATGCTTTTCCCCTGGTGGGTAGAAGGTCCAGGGAAAGGGCAGAGAGAGATGCCTTTGGTGTGGGGAAACTTAGAATCCCCAAGGGTATTTCTTCCGATGGCGGGTAGACAGACAACCATCTGACCTGCTGTGGGGACCATCTTCTGCCTGGCCACTGTCGGAGAGCCTACTGCCTTGGGGAGGGGCAGGCACGTCGGCTAACATGGGACAATCTGCCTTCTCTCTGGCTCCTGAAGCACAGCGTTCTCCCTGGGTATGGTGGATGGCCTCTGCCTTGCTGAGCCATAGACTTGGTGGCTAACGTGAGACAATCTCCCCATCTGCTGTGGGACAATGGTTCTCCTCTGTTGTGGGGGACTTATTTCCAGAAAGCAGTCAGCCACCTCCTTCTTAGTCTGGGGGAAGAACCTCCAGGAGGCTTTGTCACCTCATACCTGGTGTAACCAGTTGTGGAACTGGGGAACAGCAGCTGCCCTAGCAGACAGTGGGCACTGCCCAGGAAGGCCTCACAGGCCGACAAGATCAAGTCTCCGGAAGAGAGTGATTAAGTATAAGAAGAGCCTTCATTTAAAGATGTACTTATGGGTAACTGGGGGGACGTCTGGAACCTCTCCTGATGACTTCATGGAGCTGGCTAACCAGGTCTGCCATGAACTGCTTCCTGGAACTCTGACCTGAGAGCATCCTTAACTATGGGCCTGGCCAGGGAGGGCATTTCGGATGTCCTTGGTTTCCAGGACCTTCAGCCAGCTCTGGTGGGGCAGAATGAAGGCTGGCCCGAGGATCAAAAGAGCCAGTAGGAGCCCCAATTCTGTCATTAACTTTGGGAGTCTAGGTGAGGTGTGAGCCTCTCTGAACCTCTGTATCCTCATCGGGAAGAGAGGGATGGTAATGTTTCTGAGAAGTTTCTCTACCAAACTCACAGGGAACAGGTGAGCCCAGCCCTGCCCATCCTCAGAGCTGGATTTCTTTCTCCAGGAGAAGGTTATGCCTTTGACTACCAAAGGACCTTAACGTCCCCTGAGCAGGTAGGTTCTTCCCAGTCATATCATATCCTGGCCCAGAATGGGAAGCGCTCACAAGCAGCCCCTGTGGCCATGTTACACAGAGGCCGAGGGGAGAAGAGACATCCCTCTCAAAGGAAGGAAGACTCTGGGTCTGGACGTCAGATCATTTCCCTCAGACATTGGGCAGCAGGTATAAGGGAGGATGATGAAGGGGGGGGGCAGCAATTACCTGGGCCGAGTTCATCCATTGGGATCATATCGCGGCTGCCGCACCTCTCGTTATCTACAAGACAAGAAGGGATCATTCCATTTGAAGGGCAGCATCTCCTGCCTCCCCCAGGGAGGGGGACCGAGTGAGGATGGTCTCTTAGGCCTGGCTGGGATCAGACTCCCAGGAGTGGAGATGGGAGGAGAGAGAGGAGAGGAGAGACAAGAGAGGGAGAGAAAGGCTCTGGCCGAGCAGGAAGAAAATGAAGAAGGAGGAAGCTGGAAACTCAGGAAGGTTGGTGTGGCCCTTCCCCCTACCAGCTCTGTTGACCCCTGGCCTCCAGCTGGAAGAGGAGGTCCATCCCATCTGGAAAGCTGACAAAGGACAGATGTGGCCCTAGAGGGGGCTATGCCCTGACCACCCCAGGTACCTCAGCCTGCCTCTGGATGAAACCCGCTGGATTCTCCCTAACCTGCTACGATAACATCGAGTCACAGCAAAGGGACCAGTCTGGAGGCTGGCCCTAGTGGGTATGATGGCTGCTGGGGGGTAGGGGGCAAAAGGAGCCCAGAGCCCCTGGGCACTTGCCACCTTTGCTCTGAAAGGAGGAGGGGCCGGAGGGTCCAAGGCCGTGGCCCTAGTGCTAATGGCACTGGTGTTGGTGAAATGACCTGGGACGAGCTCATTCTGCCTGGGCTGGGGATGGAGCTGTGATGGACAAACGCTGCAGATCAGGGAGAAACGCACCGCCCGGTACCCGCGTTTAAAATGTGCCCTCTGGTTGGCCAGGATTTTCCTGCCCTCTACGATGCTTCGACCTTGCTGTTTGCCCAAGCCTTCTTTCCTTTATACAAAAGCATTGTCTAAGGGAAGTGTGTTAGTGTCCTCTCGAGGGCCTTGTCCAGAGGGAGCCTGGCACGTGGGACCATTAAGCCCTTATTAAGGTGCCAGGGTTTGCCCAGTGGCCGCTGGGTACCTTCACTGTAAGCGAGACTCGGGGGAAGTAAACGGCTCTTCTGGGCCGGGCTTATACCCCTGACCCCAGAACCCTCTGGGCTCTGAGGCCCTGCTTCCACAGCTGTGCGGGCCTCGAGACACACGCAGGCAAATGAGACGGAAGGAGAGTGGCCCCGGCCCTCGGATCGCCGCCAGAGGCCGCCCCGCCGCCCGCACTCACCGTGGGTCTTTTCCACCAAAGGCAGGGTGCTGTCGTCATAGCCAGCCTTGCCTGGAGTCCCCTTGGGTCCCTTGGGAGCGCTAGACGCCGCCGTCTAGACACAGAAAAACACCGCTCATCATCGAGGGATGCAGGACCATGGCTCGGGGGCCCCAGGGAGCTCGAGGGAGGCTGGGCATCCCTGATGGCTCCTCAGCCCTCCCCCGGGCCATCTCCCCACTTTCTCCTCTTCACCCCATCTCTACACTACACTGGCATATTGGGGATTAGACCCAGCCACGCCTCCGCCTGGATCACTCCCGCCATTTGTGACCTTCACTCCTGCTGAATGGAGGTGGAGAAGATGACCGGCGGTCCTGACTGGGTCCCCTACAAATCTGCTACACAACCTCAGCTGGGCCCTCACTGCCGCTCGGCAATCCTACTCATCTCCCGCATCAGCTCTCCACGGCAGCTCCTCCAAACCTTCTCACCCCTCCTCAGGCCTCCCATGGCTCCCTCTCCCCTTCTCATGAGGCTGATAACCCCAAAACTCTCCCATTTTACAGATAAAATTGAGGCCATTTGCCGTGATCTCCCTCTTCTCCCCTCCTCCTCATCTCCCACCACTGAGGTGCCTTCTGTCACCTCCTCCTCCCTCACCTTGGTCTCACAGGATAAAGTGACCTCATTGCTGACCAAGGCTGGCCCCTCTACTTGTTAAAGTGACCCCATTCCATCACCTCTGCAGCATCTCATGGATACGCCCCCTTCTCTCCTCTGACACTGCCCCCACCCTGGTGCAGACCCTCATCACTTCTCACCTTAATCGCCACAATAGGTGCTGGGGGGGGGGGTCTGCCTGCCTCAGGCCAATATATCCTCCCCAAGCCACCAGAGTTATCTTCTACAGCACAGGCTTGACCACACCGCCCCCTTACTCAATAATCCCCAGTGGATCCCTATTGCTTCCAGGATCAAACTAAAAATCCTCTTTGGTTTTTACGCCCTTCAGAGCCTGGCCTCTCCCTCTCCTTCTGGTCTTCTCCTTGTCCCCGTCAGGCATCCTAAGGGCCCGCTGTTTTGGACTTCTTGATATTCCTTACACAAAACAGCCCATCTCCCGCGTCTTTGTCTTTGCATTGGCTGTGCCCCACGCCTGGAGTGCTCTCCCTCTCCACATCTGCCTCCTGGCTTCCTTCACTTGCTGCCTTCTGCAGGCCTTTCCTGGTCCCTCCATTGCTAGAGATCACCGTCATCTATTCTGTTGTTTAACTGTTGTCTCCCCTCATTAGCATGTGAGCTCCCTGAGGGTAGGGACCCTGTTTTTGTCTTTGCATTCTCAGCACTTAACACTGTGCCGGGCACTTAGAATGTTTGTTGGTTGCCTGCCTGCCTGCCTGCCCGGGGACCTCACAGAACATCTTCCTCTTCTCCACGGTCAGCTTCCCACCCATCCTGGGCCTGGGCCCTTGCAGTCACTTCCAATGACCCCCAGGCTCAAGGACCTCTGTCGCTTTGCCCCATTCCCTGGCAGGCCTGGGCCTCCAGGCAATGACCATAGCAGCGTCTCTGCCGAATCCTGGGCTGGCAGGAACCTTCACTGTGGTGGGAGCTCACATTTATGTAAGGCTCAGAGTTTTGCTAAATGCTTAGCATCAGAGGCTCACAGGCTTTGAGCTGACAGGGATCTAGTCCAAACCCTCAATTGAACAGATGAAGAAACTGAGGCCAGAAAGGTTAAGTCACTTACTCATGGTCACACAGCAAATTAGTGGTAGTTGGTATTCATAAGCTCCTATGCTCCTCATCACAGCCACTCAAGGTGGGGGTAATGCCCATTGTATTATCCATATTTTACAGATGGGGAAACTGAGGCTCAGGAAGGGACTTGGCCATGTTTACAGACTCTGTGTATGTTAGAAACAGGCCTGAAACCCAGCTCTCCCTTCTTCGGGAGGCTTTTCCTGGTCCCCCTGGCTGCTGGCGCCTTCTTCTCCAAGGCTGACTTACATCTCGTATGGACCTGCAGGTGCCTCTCAGGTTAGTAAGCTCCAGAGGGCAGGGACCATTCTCTGTGTCCCAAGGGCTAAGCACAGTGCCGGGCACATGGCAAATGCTTCATAAAGGCTCACAGACTGAGGGAATAATAACTAGAATTATTAAAGAATAAATGGGATTAACTATTAAATTGGTTATGTTAATATTTTCATTTAGATGCTAGTAACATTGATAATAGGACCACTAGGTGGCGCCATAGCGCACAGAGCTCATGGCCCAGAGCCCAGAAGACTCATATCATTCCTTGACTTCAAATCTGGTCTCAGACACTTAGTAGCTGTGTGACCGTGGGCAAGTCACTTAATCTTGTTTGCCTTAATTTCCCCATCAGTAAAATGAGTTGGAGAAGGAAATGGCAAACCACTCCAGCATCTTGGCCAAGAAAACCCCAAAGGGGGTTGTGAAGAGTTGGACATGAATGAATGAGCATCAATAACATTTTGTGAGAGTGACATGATTGAATGGGCTGCGGCATTTTTTTGAAATCTTGGTTTAACACTCTGTGGTGCAGTGATTAGAAGGTTCAAAGCTCTGTGTGTTTGGGTGGGCACAGGTAGAAAAGGGACCTCCCCCAGCCATGGAGCGCCTGACAGAGGCTCACCGGGGAAGGTGAGGTGCTCACTAAAGCGCAGTGTCCGCCTTTCCTCCCATGCACCAGCAATGCCCAGGTTTTTGCCAACATTCAGCCAGCAGACTTTCTGCTGTGAAGCTGTTCATGCCAACTCAGTGGGACGTGCTCCCTTTTCATACAGATTTTTTTTTTTAACAAATAGAGTTTGAAACCCAGTGAAACCCTTATTTGGAAGCTTTCTTAAACAGGCCAGAAAAGTCTGTTGCTACATTTCTAAAGCATGTAGGCTTGGGAGTTCTTACAAGGGACACATTTAACATCATTTTGGGGAAGAGACCCTTGGTTTGGAAATGTCTTGCTAATACGGTGGCTTCAGACTCTCGTTAGCTGCCATCTCCAGGCTCAATATATACTTTCCTTCAATATACCCTTCTGTTGTTTAATTGGGTGTGGGGGGGTCTTCTCTCTCCAAGCAGACTGGGAACTCCCTGAGGGCAGGGGCCAGCTCTACTCCCCCAGCAGCAGAGCTGAGCCAAGCCCCAGGCTGGGCATTTAGAAAGCCCTGCTCCATAAACATGGCTGGATATGAACTGGATTGGGATGGCGGGCAGGCAGGCTCTGTCAGGTGGGATGAGGAGGGAGATCTGAGAAAGGGCATTACTGGGGAGGGGGAGCTCTAAGGTAACAAAGGAGGACAGCATTAGAGACCTCTCTTCCTCCACCCCTCCTCTGTAGCTACCTCCTTCTCAGAACATGACCTCTGATAATTGGATAAGGTCAAGCCTTGGTTTGGCTCCTCAGGTAAGTATTTGAACAGTGCCAAGTCAAGGTGAAGGTGACATGGCGTTTCATGTTTTGATGTCTCAACCTCCTGAGAGTGTATAATAAGAGTTAAGGGTTACTGTTTTACGGTTTAATTTTTTGTCAATGGAGGCTTTTATGTTTTTGTGTGTTATAAGCACTCTTTTGTGTGGAGAAGATAAATAGCTGTCCCATACTTGACCTACACAGTACATTATCTTTCTAATCAAGTACCGTAGACAGGGAATAAACTTCAGCTTTTGCTAAGCGATTTCCCCCAGAGCTCTGGAATGGGAGCTAGGGCAGTGGAACAAGCACTGAATCTGGAATCAGAAGAGCCTTGGATTCGACTTCTGACTCTAACACTCACTAGCGGTGGAATTTTGGGTAAGTCACTTTCTTTCTCTGGGTTATCATTCTAAGAAGGAGACCTCAGATTCCCATACACTAGGAGATGCACAAACTGCTTTCCTGACAACAATCCTGGGGGTGGGGAGAATACTGTTACCCTGATTTTGCAGAAGAATAAACTGAGGGAGAGGAAGACAAAGATAAAAAGACCCCTCCCTTTAAAGGCCAGGCTGTCCTAGGATTAAACCCATCCCCACAAAAGCTCTGAGAAACCCTTGTTTGCTGGAGAATGAGTGTTGATGATTGGTCCTGATGGGGGCCACCCCTTTTTGCCCCAGAGGCCCCCCCCCACCTGCCAGTCCTGACCTGGAAATGAGATTTATTCCAGCCGTCCTTCTGCAGAGCCCCCCGGAGCTCCTTGTAGCTCCAGACCATCTGGAGGACATGGGACGCCGCCTTCATCTCCCGCATGGACTGGCTGGGTGGAGAGACAGACGGACAGAGGGACACTCACATGGGTGGGTCTGAGCCTCACCTCCAGAAGTGCTCACAGGGAACTGCCTGGGGGCAGGGGGGAGGAAGGAACCAGCAGCTGGATCCTTGGGCAGACCCAAGTCATCTTCAACTGTGCTGGGGACTGGCCTCTCCCAGGGCTCAGGGCAGATCTTGTCTGGTTAATGAATGCTGCTGCCCCATCACAGATTCCCAGCTCCAGTTGGTGAGGACTGGGTTCAAATCCTGACTCTGGCCCTTACTAGCTATGGCACCTTGAGCAAGTCACTTGATTTCTCTGAATGATTATTCTGATCATGGAGAGTGCTAAGAACCTGGCAAACCACCTTCCTCATGACACTCCCCTCCCCTCCCCCCTGGGCAGATGGGAGAGCCAATATAAAGACCATTCTCCCAGTTTTGCAGATGAAGAAACTGAGGTGCAAACAGAGGGAAGCAACTTGACCAGGCCCATATGTAGCCTCTGCTTGAAGACCTCTAGTGATGAGCAGCTCACTACCTCTCGAAGCAGCCCATTTTACTTGGGGGCTTCTCCTGAGTTATTCTTCCCACCATTCCTGAACTGGAGGCGAGCAGATGTGTTCAGGAAAAGGGCTGATTTTTCCCACCTGGGTCCAGATAGGTGTGCCCTTGCGAATGGGGAACCTATGGACATTGGCCCCGCCATCCCTCTCCCTCTCTGGAATCCCACACCTCCCGTCTCTGCTGCCTCGATAGGTCCCTAGAGACCATCTTGTCCAATCAATCCCCCCATTCTAGAGATGATGAAGCTGAGGACCAGAAAAAGGATGGGGCTCGGCCGGCACCCACCTCGACTTGCTGATGCCCACCAACTTCTGGATGCCCTGGGTCTGCACCAGGGAGCGGGCATTCTCGGCACTGTCTGTGACGATCTCGTGGATGGTATTGAGGACGGCGACCACCGTGTCCTCCTCGAGGTTTTTGGCTGTGCGCTGCTGCCGGCTCGGCAGATTCCGGACCAGCTCGGCCATCGCGTAGCTCCCTGCCAGTGGGGAGCCAGCAGCATTAATTCCCCCTGCCCGCGAAGCTCCCTAACGTTGGCGCGTGTCTCCAGGAGGCCCTCATACAGTGCCTCTCGGTGTGGAGCATTCAGGCCAGTGGGCGGGCAGCAGGCAGTAGGGGTGGGGGTGGGGAGGGAGGGGCTTTCCGGGGAACACTCCCAGAACCCGTGAAAGCAGCCCCCTACCCGAGCCCTGACGACAACGTCAAGCTTCAGTCCAGAGCTCACTTGCCAAGTCATCCGGAGCCAGAGAAGGCTCAGGCACCCCCTGTAATACGGGTCCACGCACACAGAAGCCCACGTGGGGGCCAGCACCCTCGGGCCAGGCCTGGGAGGCCCTGTGAGAGGCCCCGCACACACATGGTCCATCAATGTGCATTCCATAAGATGCGGGCCTGCCTGGGTGAGATCACCCGTGTGCCCGTACGGGACACACCCATGGTCACCCACACAGGTCTGCTTGGAGGGCCCACACACTCACACATGGCAAGGGGGAGGGTGTCCTTACACACGGTCAATCCCACATGGCCCCAAAAACCCAAGGCTGTGCCCACGCTGAGCCATGCCCACAGGGCTGCCCCGGGGCACATGTGGGGAACGTCACACAGGGATACAGGCCCACGGCCCCCTCCTGACAGTCACACAAAGAGGGCCCCAGGAGGATCCCCTCTCTCTCCCCATTTTATAGAGAGGGAAACCGAGGCCCAAGAGGCCCAAGCCCCACAGGCACGTTTCAGCTCCTGGAGGATGCTGCAGGAAGGCTGAGGGGCCAGTGGCAGAGCGGACGCCTCCCAGAGACCCCTGCTCCCTACCTATGAGGTCCTTGTTGCGCCGGTCCATGGAGAGGTTACGCAGGGCGATGCTCACGGCCCGCACCACCTTGTCCGAGTCCGACTGCAGAAGCTCCACCAGCACCGGCAGCCCCCGCTCCTTGCGCACCATGGCCCTGATGTACGTGGACCACTGGGCGGGGCAGAAAGGATGCCCCTGAGACCCCGAGCCTGCCCATCCCAGGCTCCAGCACCCCTCCCACCTCCTCAGCCCCGCCCGAGGGACCAGCTCAGCATGACCCCCTCGCGGAACACATGAGGACACCGAGGTGCAGGAGGGGGCTGGCCAAGGGCAGAATTGGGATTCGAACCCAGGCCCTTCTTCTCCAAACCTAAGCCATCATTTCACTGTATCAACCTCATTTTACTCGGACTGCCCGCCCCTGAGAGATGTGAGGACAGTGCTTTGGAAACCTCTCGACGCAATTCAGAAAGCTGAGGTCTTATTAGATTACAAATAATACTGGAATCTCAGCCCTGCTCCTTTCTAGCTGTGTGACCTTAAGCAAGTCACTTGCCTCCCCGGCCTCAGTTTCTTCCTGTGTAGCCTGGTGCTACTAGGCCCTAAGGAAGGGGCCTCTCAGCTCTCAGTCAGTGTTTAGAGTGGAAGCTCCTTGAGGGCAGTTATGTTTTACCTCTTTCTGGACTCCCTGTGCTTAGCACAGTGATGGCCACATAGTAGGTGCTACATAAATGTCTACTGATCGGTTGATTGCTTTAGAGAAAGGCAAACCCAAATCGGGGGGGGGGGCTTTTACTGAGTGGTGTAGCAGATGGGGGGGGGCTTCTCCAAAGATGGGGCATCTAAGCTGAGCTTTAAGAAAGAGGGGGTGCATAAAGCATTGGCCCTGGAGTCAGAAGGATCTGAGTTCAAATCTAAACTCAGACACTTACTAGCTATGTGGCCCTGGACAAGTCACTTAGCCCTTAGTACCTCAAAAAAAAAAAGAGGTAGGAATTCATCTGGAAGAAGTCTGGGGGCCGCGGAGGGCAGTCCAGGCAGAGGGAACATTACAAGCAAAAGCATGGAGGTGGGAAAGTATAGACTGTATTTATTGATGAGTAATAATAACAATAATAATGAGAAATAATGGTGGTGGCACAGTGGATAGAGCACCAGGCCTGGAGTCAGGAAGACTCATCTCCTTGAGTTCAAACCTGACCTCAGACCCTTACTAGCTGTGTGACCCTGGGCAAGTCACTTCATCCTGTTTGCCTCAGTTTCCTCATCTGTAAAATGAGCTGGAAAAGGAAATGGCCAACCCCTCCGGTATCTCTGCCAAGAAAAGCTCAGGTGGGGTCACGGAGAGTCAGACGTGACCACCACCACGATCAGCAGCTGGCCTTTATGGAGAGCTTACCACGGGCCCTGTGCTCAGCCACAAACACTATCTTACAACAGCCCTGGGAGGTGGGTGCCGTTATTCTCCCCATTTTATGTGTGGGGAAACTGAGGCTGAGAGAGCTTCAGTGACTTGGCCACATTATCCTGTTTGTAGCTCGTTTTCCATAGTTGCCTGCATGTTATCTCCCCATTACACTGGGAGCTCTTGGAGGGCAAGGACTGTCTTTGGCCTTTTGTATCTCCAGTGCTTGGCACAGTGCCTGGCACACAGTAGGTGCTTAATAGATGCTTGTTGACTGCCTGGTGGTCCTGAAGGAAGTGGGAGGAGAAGACAAAGGGGAGAGAGAAAGAGAGTAAGAGAGAGAAAGAGTGAAAGAGAAAGAGTGAGAAAGAGAGGGACAAAGGAGAGTGAGAGAGTGAGAAAGAGGGAGAGAGTGAGAGAAAGAGAAGGAGGAGACAGAAAGAGAGAGAGAAAGTGAGAGAGAGAGGAGAGTGAGAAAGAGAGGGAGAGAGTGAGAGAGAGAGGAGAGAGAGAGAAAGAGAGAGAAGAGAAGAGAAGAGAAGAGAAGAGAAGAGAAGAGAAGACAAGAGAAGACAAGAGAAGACAAGGGGAGAGGAAAGGAGGGGAGGGGAGGGAAGGAAAAGAGAGACTCCTAGATCAGCAGGGTAGAATTGTAGGGGCCCTTTGAGATCACTGAGTCTGAGCCTCCCATTTTACAGATGAGGAGACTGAGTCTCACAAAAGCTAAGTGACTTATCCACAGTGTCCCAGCTATGAAGTAATGGGGCAGGATTCCAACTCAGCTCTGGTTTGCAGTGCTGTGTTCTTTACCCAGGACTCCCAGAGAGAAGACTCCTGAGCCAGGTTGGAGGGTCCCCTTGGGGCAGGAGGGCTTTGGATAGGAGCCCCCAGGAATGAGAGGGCTCTTTCTCCCTTGTGGTCTGCTGGGGGTGTCCTAAGCAGGGCCCCCGGTAGCCCCCCAGGTTACTCACCATCCAGGTGCCAGCACTGAGGTTCTGCAGAGCCCCGGCCGCGGCCTCCAGGGTGTTGAAGTTCTGGCTCTCGGTGAGGATGGAGAGGTAGAGACGCACCACCTCAGGCTGGTAGAGCAGTTCGAAGCCTGGGGAGGGGGAGGGACATCAGGTCCGTGAGCCCTGCCCCCTCCCAGGGCCCGCAGGGGCCTCCTGCCAGCTCTGGCTCCAGATTCCCCCCTCTCCTCCTGCCCCCCTAACCTGCCCATGCTGAGGCAGAGAGGGCAGCTACCTCCGGGAGGGGGAGCCCAGGGCCTGAGCTGAACTCTGGTGGGGAGCCAGGGCAGGGCAGGGGGGGCACACATAACACCCTGGGGGAGCCGGCTCAGCCTGGGGGGAAGGCAGAGGACAGAGACATTGCTGGGGACCTGGGGGCAGGCCAGAAGCTCCCCTCGATCCAATTCAGCCCCGGGGATACCAGCACCGTGTGGCCCAAAGCCCAGGATCTCAGAGCTGGGAGAAAACCCTGGACCATGAGTCAGAGGACCTGAGATCAAGTCCTGCTCTGCCACTTCCTAGCTACGTGATGACCCTGGACAAGTCATTTGCCTCCTGAGGCCTCCATTTTCTCATCTGAAATGAGGGAGGGTTGACTAGAAGATCTCTAAGGACCTCCCCTTTAGGATTTCAGCTGCATCTTGCCCTTGCAGCGGCTAGAGGTAGCGCCACACAGAGCGCTAAGCCTAAAGTCAGAAAGACCTGAGTGCAAATCCAACCTCAGGCACATCCTAGCTGTGTGACCCTGGGCAGGTCACGCCATTGCCGCCTGCCTTGGTTTCTTCATCTGTGAAATGGGTACAATACGAGCCCCATCCTCTCAGGGTTGTGGCAAGGTCCAGATGAGGAGCTATCTGCCAACCTTACAGCACTACACGTGTCCCTTTCCTTTAAGCTAAACTGTCCCCGGGGCCTTTACCCGATCTCGTCTTCTCATTCTGTAAGATTCTGGCAATGCCTGAGCTGAGTGTGCTTGGCCCAGGGCCTAGCATACAGTAAGCACTCAAGCAATGCTCTTTCTCTTGAGTGATCAAATCCCTCTCAAAAAATTGTCTTCTGAGCTGCTGAGGAAGTGCGTGCCTCGGGGCCGAGCCCCACCGTCCTCTCCGTCCTCCTCACCGTCCTCCCCACGACTCGGGGATGCTTTGGCCTTTGTTCGGTCATTTCAGTCCTGTCCAGCTCCTTGTGACCCCACCGACCACAACACGGAAGCGGTTTGCCACGTCCTCCTCCAGCTCATTTGACAGAGGAGGAAACTGAGGCCCCTGGCTGAGTGAGTTATCCACAGCCACACAGCTCCTGAGAGGCCTTTGTGACGTCTGAGGCCAACACTCTGTCTGCGGATGGGACGCGTGAGCGTGGGTCTCCCTCCATTTGACAGGTGGGGAAGCCAGCCATCAGAGAGATGAGATGCCTTGGCCTTGGGGCCGCTATGTGACCAAGTGGACGGACTGTTGCACTTGGAATCTTGAAGACCTCAGTTCAAATCCTGCCTCCATACAGGTCAGCTGGGTGACCTCGGGGCAAGGCACTTAGACCCTTCTCAGCCTCACTTTCCTTTTCTGCAAAACGTAGGTAATAAGAGCACTTCCCAGGGGCAGCTAGGTGGAGCAGTGGAGAGAGCGCTGGCCCTAGAGTCAGGACCTGAGCTCAAATGTGGCCTCAGACACTTACTGTTGTGTGACCCTGGGCAAGTCACTTCACCCTGACTGCCTCCAGAAAAAAAAACCAAACCACCTCCCTGGTGGGGTTGTCAGTATCAAATGAGATAATCTGTGTAAAGTGCTCTGTAACCTCAGAGTGCCTTGTAAATGCTGGTGTTGTCATCATTATTGCTGTTAATGTTGTGACTTGGGGTCACAGGAGGTAGGAGCTGGGGTTTGTCTTGTAATATATAGAAAGAGGAGAGAATTTCTATCGATGATGCAGCACGTGCCTTCTCCAAGCCATCTGCCTTACCCGGGGCAAGGCATAGACCCTCTCTGGCCTCAGTTTCCCCATCTGTAAGATGTGGGGCTGGGACCCAGGTGAGGCCCTGCCCACCCTCCATCCCAGGGCGCTGCCTGTCCTCTCTTTGTCCCGCTTTGCTTCCAAAGCTAACACCAAGCCCTCCTGGCAGAACACCGGAAACCCTGCACTGGAGTAAATCATGGTCGGCTCCCCGCTGGCCTGACCTCAGATTCCTAAAATATCTCAGGGCCACGTTCTATCTGCAGGATCCCAGCTGCTCCTGGCCCAAGTGTACCCTCCTGCTTCCTGTGCTCCCGCAGCTGGGGGCAGTGAGAGGAGAAGGACAGAGCCTCCCCAAAGTGGGCCTGGCCCCAAGGCCCCTTGCCCACCCTTGAGATCCCCGCCCCCAGGGTTCCCTGCCTTCTCCACCAGCCCTGGCACATTCCAAGGCTTCCTGAAATCCTGGCTTCGCTTTCTGTCTGATTGCTTCTGGCTGGGATGTTTGTTCTCCCCAGGGACACAGCCTGGGCCCCAATCCCAGCTCATTTACTTACTGGCTGCATGACCTTGGACAAGTCCCATCCCTTCCCTTCTCAGAGATGGAGTGTCCTCTGCCAAAGCTGGTCAGAAGCCTAGAGTTCATTCAGCTCCTAAATCCTATAAATACCTTTTTAAGGGGAGGGCTGTGTCTGCTCTCTCATCTTCCCCCACAGTGCCTAGCCTGGGGCAAGCCCGGGAGTGTTTCCAGATTTACAAAGGGCTTTTCTTGTAACAGTCCTTTGAGGCTCCCCTCAAAATGAGAGCATTAATTATGATTTTCATTTTATTGAAGAGGAAATGGAGGTCTGGGTGAGAGGGAGGGTCTCACCTGAGGGCACACAGGCTCAGGGTTTTAACTCAAACCCTGCCCCCCTCCTCCCAGCCCCAATCCAGCATCTCTGCACTGAATCCCACTTCCTCCCATGGGATGCTGGGATCAAATCAAACTGATAACACCCTCACCAGAACCCAAGACTGGAGCCCACTGTTGCCCCACCCCTCAGGGCTGATGTGAAGAAGATGGGAAATGGCTCGTGAAATGGGAGCTTCTCCTGGGCCCAAAGTGTCAGCAGGGGTAGAAAAGGGACCCCTGGGGGAGGGGCTGTTTCCATAGCAATGGGGCAGGGCAGTCACGGCTGGGTACCCGTAGCAATGGGGTTGCACATCAGCCCAAGGAAAGGATGAGTCCCTCGGAGAAAGGGTGGACTTGGGAGCCAGCCCTGAATCTGCCACAAGGGTCCGAGCCTTCCTGAGCCCCTGACGCCCTTTGAGGTCACTATCCGAGGACCCACCCCCAGGATGGCCCAGAGACCCATGACTGAGGGAACCAAGGGGGTGCAGTGAGGGATGAAGTCCCCCTGGTCCTTCCATTTTCCTCACTGACTTACTATGGGGCCTGAGTTTCCCATGACCCTCTCTCCTTTGGGCTAAGGCATTGAAGGTCCCTGTGAAAAAGCACTGGGAGAGAGATCACAGTCAGCCACGATCGGCAGTTTGTAGCCCTCAGTGAAGATTCCGCCATCAAAGCTTGGCGGAAGGCTCTCTGGGTAGGAGAGGGAGGAGGGCGATGTTGGGAATGCAGGTGAGGAGAAAATTAAAGAGACCAATAAAAATATAAGAGCGGGCATTATTGATCAGCCGAGCCCTGAGGGATCAGACAGGCAACAAACATTTCTTAAGTGCTTACCACTAGGTGCCAGGCACGTGCTGGGCTCCGGGGATACAAGAAGAGGTCAAAAGCAGTCCTGCTGTCGGGAGCTCTCAGTCTAATGGGCGGGAAATAGGCCTTCTTTTTGTATCCCCAGCACTCAGAACGGTCCTTGGCACACATTAATAAATGTTGATTGGTGTAAATAACTAGATGCGTTGACGGTAAGGACAGCAGCTGGGGGACAGGGAATGGCCTCCAGCAGAAGGTGGGATTTGAGGTAAAACTTGAAGGCATTTAGGGAGGCATCAGGTGAGGAGGGAAAACCTTCCGGGCCTCAGGAACAGCCACGGCAAATGCTCAGAGTCTGGAGATGGACTGTTGTGTGTAGGGAGCAGCAAGGCTCCTGGTGAGGCTGGGCTGGAAAGTGCAGGGAGGGTAAGGGGTGAAACCGGAAAGGCAGGAGGGGGCCAGGTGGGCCTTGAGATATCCAGGGGAGGGTACCTCAGAGGGTGGGGGTCAGTGGAAGGAAAGGAAGGCCTGGCACCTAAGGCAGGGAGAAAGCCACCTTTCTCTGAAAATGCCCAGAGCTGCCACTGACTGTCTATCGCCTCACCTTGGGAGAGCCCCTAGCGGTGCAGGGACAGGGCCTGGTCATCAGCGGCCTCCGAGCATCCCTGGGGGCTCGAGGCCCCCTCTGTGACCCTGCTCCCAGCATCCTCCCTGCTCCCCACGTACGAGGGGGAGCTACGATGGCACGGCAAGAAAGAAGAAACTTCTCAAGAGGGTTTATCTTGTTAGCACAGTGTCCCGTATTCAGTGGATGCTTGATACAAGCTTGCTGATGTTTGAAAGGCAGCACGGCCTTTCAGTGGATAGCGCACTGAACTGGGGGCCAGAAAGCCCTGAATTCAAATTCAGCCTCAGGCACCAGCTGCGACACCCTGGCCAAGTCTCTTAGCTACTCTGTGCCTCAGTTTCCTCATCTGTCAAATGAGGGGGTTAGACGCAATGACCTCTAAGGTGACTTTCTACTCTAGATCCACAATCCTATGACTAACAATTGCTCATTAATTATAGGTCCATCCCCCTCTACTATCCATAGAGAGGCAATGTGATCCCACGAGGGACTCAGGTTTAAATCCTGGGCTCTGTCATGCTCTCTGGGTGACCCCGGACCAGTCATTTACCACCCCCCTGCCTTCTCCTCCATTTCCTCATTGATAAAATGCAAGTGTCAGACTAGACAATCTCTTCGGTCCCCTCCAGATCTGAATCTAGAATCTTGTTCCTACCAGACCCTGGGCCTCCACAGCTTGGCTCTTTCTCCTGCATCCTCTGCTAGCCGTCTCTCTCCAGAATGCCCAGAAGGAGGGCTTAACCATGGAGCTGGGAAGGGGAAGCTTGAGCGATGTGCTAGAGGCACCCTCCACCTCAACACACATGAATGTGCGCGCGCACACACACACACACACACACACACACACACACATGCTTACCCACCCCCAGCCAAGGCCCAGGCCTGAACAAGAATCCCATCTTAGACCCACAGAGCTGAAATCTCCCTCCCTGCTGACTTTCACTGATTGTTCCCAGGGGTCCAGGGGAATAAATCAGTCATTCGGACCCTGATGATGGCCACCCACCTGCTCTCCACCAGGGGCAGCAGAGAGACAGCAGTTAGCAGAGAAGAGCAGCCGGAGCTGTCCACGGCTGAAGGCACAGCCCCGCTCCTGGGCGATGGGTCACAGTCAGACCCTCTGCTCAAGCTCACAGCAGGCTGGACAAGGACCTCATCCCTTGAAGTCCTCCCCACCTGAAGCAGACTGCTTCTTGTCCAGCCCCAATCATGCTGATATTTCCTTGCCAACTGGTCCCTTGACCTTCTTCCAGCCTTGAGCCTGGCTTGTTTTCAATTTTATTAAGATAACTCAGCTTCCTGCTCTGGACTCTCATTTCAATTGATTAAATCAATACAATGAGCATGCATTAAACACCTAATGTGTGCTCGACTCCAGGCAGGCAAAGACAGAGTGAAACCTGTTCCTTTCCTCAGAGAGCTTGCAGCCCAGCTGGGGGAGATGACATGTAATGTCATAGGCACATACAAGATAGATCCAGGGGATTGGGAGGAGAGGAGGGGACCCCCACCTGGGGGATCAGCAAAGGATTCAACGAAGCAGCAGTCAGCAGGGAGCAGTGGATGCAGTGCTGAAGACCTGGGTTCAAATTCTGACTCAAGATGTTTATTACCTCTGTGATTGGGGAAGTCACTTAACACCTCTGTGAGACTCAGTTTGCTCATCCACAAAATGGGGCCAATAGTAACAACTACCTCATATGGCTATTGTGAGGGTTAGTGCTCTGTTGATTACACACATAATTGACCTTTCCAGTAACAGATCTATGACCCTGTGTGTGACCTTGGACAAGACAGTTGTCCTCCCCAGGACTCAGTTTCCTTCTCTGTAAAATGAGAGGAGGATTTAATGGCTTGTGAGGTCCCTTATGACTCTAGGGCCCTGCAGTCCTAGAAAGCTGCTCTTGGGCAGAGATGGCCCAAGACCTGTTTGAGGCTCCCCCAGAAAGATGGTGCCCTCCCCCACCCCACCCCGAGGGCTGGCATCACCCCTGGTCCATCCAGGCTCTGTCTTTAGGCCAGAGCCAAGCAGGGCCCATGCGTCCCCTCTGCTCTCCCACCCCCACCTTGGGCACTCTGGGCCAGAGAGAGAGATGGCAGAAAGGAAGCCGGTCTCCAGGAACACCATCACCATGGCAACAGCAGCATCCCTCCTGGTCTGAGCCTCTGGTTCCTTGGATGCCCTCCCTCCCTCCATCTCTCAGCATTGACCTGCTTTCTGAAGTGAGCGCTGAACAAAAGCCAGTGAGGAAGGAGCCCTGATGCTGGAAATGTGCCCAAGGAGAGGGGGCAGGAGCGCTGAGGGCCAGGGCCAGCTTACAACGCCTCCCACTTCTAGAGCGCCTCCCAAGTGACAATAGTGTCCCAGCTCCCATTTCTCCATCCCTTTAAGGTGCTCAGAGCTTGTTCAAAACTAGCACAAGGACTATTTTCCCCATTTGACAGGATAAGAAAGAGGCTCAGTGCCCAGGATTGAGCTGACCACCCACGGTTACACCAGCTGGAGACTCAGCCTCGGGGCTGGAACCCGGGTCTCCTGCTTTGGGGCCCAGGACTCTGCTCTCCCACTACACCCCACTTTCCTCCTAAGTAACCCATGGAGCAGGGGCATCTTCACCTTTGCTGGGTCATCGACCCCTTGGACACTCAGTCCAGTGGAGCAGGGCCCTTGGACGACCCCTTCTCAGAATCACGTTGTTAAATGCACAAAGTAAAATACAAAGATTATAAACCAATCACATTGAAATACGATGATCAAAATATTAACAAAGCAAGTTCATGGACCACCAGTGAAGAGCCCCATCTGCAGAGGCACACTTCATAATAATGACAACGATAAGACAGCTAGGCGGCTTAGTGGGCAGTGCAAGAAGACCTGAGGTCAAATCCTACTTCAGACACTTACTAGATGTGTGGCCCTGGGCAAATCACTAAGCCTCTCTGCCTCAGTTTCCTCATTGGTAAAATGGGGATAATAATAGCATCTGCCTCCTAGGGTTGTTGTAGGAACTAAAGGAGATATTTGTAAAACACTCAGCAAACCTTAATGCACTAGAGAACTGCTAGATATTATTAGAAAGAGAGGCAGCTGTGGTAAAGTGGAGAGGAATCTGGTCTCAGAATCAGAGGAACTGAGTTCAAATCATGCCTCTGATCCCACTTGGACTTGTTTCCCCCTCTGTAAAAGAAAGTAGATGGACTTCATGGCATAGGGCCAAGGCCTGCCTCTGATGCACTACCCTAGGCAGGTGACTTGGGCAAAATAAATCAACCCAGGGTCAGCTAAGTGGTGCAGTGGATAGAGTACCGGCCCTGGAGTCAGGAGGACCTGAGTTCAAATCTGACCTCAGACACATAACACTCTAGCTGTGTGACACTGGGCAAGTCACTTAACCCCAATTCCCTGCCCAAAAAATAAATAAATAAATAAATCAACCCAATGGGCTACACCTGCCCATATATATCTCCCACCTCTTTGAAGAGAAGTCATAATAACACTAATAGCTAGCATTTATTTATATGGTGCTTACTGTCAGGTGCTGTTCTAAGCACTTCACAAATATTATTTCATCTGATCCTCACAACAGACCTGGGAGGCATTATCTTAATTTTACAGTTGAAGAAACTGAGGTAGATACATACCTAGTTAGTGACTGAAGTGAGATTTGAACCCAGGTCTTCCTGATGCAATGCCCTGAGTCACTTAGCTGCCCCTCCATAACAATGATGATGGCCCCTAGGCATGGAAGGCGCCATCTTGGCAGACCTGGTCCCATTATGGGAATCTGCTAGCTTGCTGATACTTTGTTAGAAGGGAAAATTATGGGGTATTGTAAGGAGGAGTCACGTGGATGTGCTAGAAAAGAGAACCACCATATATAACATTTAAAAATTCAGTATTTCTAACGTTCTAATAGTCTGTCATTTTCAGATTGTGTATTTCTAAGGTTCTAGATTTGAATCTTCTATATTTCTAATGTTTTGAGAATCTGTGTTTCAGCTGTTATAACATTCTAAGGTTCTAGCATTTTGATTTTGTGTTTCTGAAGTTCTAGATTCCAGCATTTAAAGTTCTGTATTTCCAGTGTTCTAAAAGAGACACACAGAATCTTAAAACTTCAGAGGGTCTTCAGTTTGAAAGCATTAGAACCTGAGAACCTCATATTCAACCGGCAGCTTCTGACATGGGAGGTAGCCTGATGTCCTGCCTGGTGCTTAAGCCAGAGGACCTGGGTTCCAATTCTGCTTCAGCCACTCCCATTATCTCTAACCTGTGAGACCTTTGCCATGTCTTTGGGCCTCAGTCTCTTCTGTTGTAAAATAAGGGATTAGATTGTCTCCTTTCCCTTGAAATCTGCCTTCACTGGGGGAGAAAGTACCTACTCTCAGCTCACTTCTTCTCCTTGTGGAAGAGCCGGGACCACCATTGTTATCGTCGACAGGCTATACAGAGTATGCTAAGGTTTGTAAGGTGCTTTGCATCCGTTATCTCACTTATCCCCACAACAACCCTGGGAAGCGAGTGATATGATAATCTCCATTTTGCCAATGGGGAAACTGAGGTTAAGTGACTAGTCCAGGGTCTTCCAGCTAGTAAGTATCTAAGGCAGGACTTGAACTCAGGTCTTGCTGACTCCAAGAGCAGCGCTCTGTGGTGACCCAGTTGCCTTTGAGGGGACAAGCAGCAGGCAGAGTGCTGAGAACTACCTTGGTTGCGATGGGGGTTCCCCTTCTCAGGGGTTTTTAGCCAAAGCCTGGAGGACTGCTGGCTCTGGGGCAGAGGGGATCCTCAGTCAGACAAGGCTGGGGCCAGCTGCCCTGCTTCCCTCTGGGGGTCATTTCCAATTTCTCCCGCATGTGGCAAACGTGGTTGTCCACTGGCTGTGTCCCACATCAGGGGCTGCCTTTCGCCTTTCTTTGTATACTCAGTGCTTAGCACAGGGCCTGGCACACAGCAGGCACTTAATAAGGGTTTTCTTTGCCTGCCTGACTTCTGAAGGCTCTTCTAGCACAGAGACGAGATGGGGACTCTCAGGTGATGAGGGCCCCCAAATTCTGGGTTTGCCCACGCACCTAGAGCTGGCACTCCTGGTGACAGGCAGGGAAGCTGTGAGGGCAGCAGGAATGCCCGAGGATGTCCCCCTTCTCCAGACCCCACGGCTCCCAGCGGCCCCTGTTTACCTTTGGCCGACTCGGATCTCTTGGGTAAGTCAAGGGTATCAAAGTTCCTGTCCATGCCCCCGTTCTTTTTTCCTGTAAAAAAGCAAACCAAAAGAAAGAAAGGGTGAGAAGGTCCCTTCTAGGCCCACAACAGCCATGATGGCCCATCCGTCATTCTTATGGCCTGGCTTTTGGGGAAGTGCCCAATGATCCTGGGGACAGGAGATCCTTGCCCTCAGTGGAAGAACATGACGCCAACGAAGGGACCACATGGAGTATGTCCACACGATAAACAGACCACAGACGTACAACCGAAGGGATCAGGTTTATCCGGGAAAAGGCTGCGGCTGATTAATGAAGCCAGGGAAGGCTCTCTGGGGGAGGGATATTTAGGACGGGGAGGAATTCATCAGGTGGACTTGGTGGGGAGGGCAATACTGGAGTAGGAATGGTGTTGGCCAAAAGTGTGGGGGTGGGAAAGCATAGGACGTATGTAGAAGAAAGAGAGAGCTCTCCAAGCTGGCCGGAGAATAGCAGGAATGTGCAATGAGGCTGAAAAGGTAGGGTGGCGGGGCACCAGAGGGCAAAGAGCCTTGAACACCAGGTCCAGGAGTTTGTGCTGTATCTGGCAGGCAGTAGGGAGACGAAGGAGGCTCTTGAGAAGAGGAGTAACACCAGCTCTCCCTCTCCCATCCCTCTTCCAGAGCCTCAGTCAGGGAGCCCTAGGGAGGGCCCAGCTGTCCCGTCATCAGCCTGGGTGGTCCCTGGAGCAGGGCTGGTGTCAGAAGGCAGGGCTAGCCCCTGTACCAGGCTGGAGGGCTGGGGAGCCGTCATCAGATTCCTGGGGGTGGGACCTGGAGCCCAGGGTGGACAAAGTGCTCCTAATTGGTCAGGGGAATACTGGGTCTGAAGACTCAGAGCCAGAAGGAGCCCTCCTCAATCCTGAAGTCTGCAGTTTAAAGGGGTCCAGCGAGGGATGCGTGTGGCTGCCACAGACTCTTGCTGTGTGACCTTGGGACCCTCCTTTCCCTCTCTGGGATCGGCTTTCCCATTTTCATCAAATGAAGGGGGCTGGCCTCATTGTGGGACTTGGGGCTGGATGGGTATCTTCTAGACTGGAAATGAGTTCTCTCTAAGCTTAGAGCCTACGAAATGTTAAATCATCAGGAAGCAGAGTCTTCAGAGAAGCTCAGGGAGGGGAGGGGATGGGCTGCAGCCAGAGGGTGAGTCTGAGAAAGGACACAGTGCCTGCCACATAGTAGGTGCTTAATGCTTGTGGACTGACTGATGGACAAGAGACACTGGACTGTCAGCCCCAGGGAAGGGGGCAGGCAGGAGGACAGGTAACCAGCTGTAGCTGCTCCCATTCCTTGAGCCCTTGAAGGCTGACTCTGTTTCTCCCACCACAGCCTGTGGAGGTTGGTACTAGAAGGGTCCTCATTGTCCAGATGAGAAGACTGAGGCTCAGAAAGTCTAAGCTGACCGAAGGATTGAAGTGAACTTCCCACGGACCACAGCTGGGGAGTGATGGAGCCCAGGAAAGGATGAGGAAGGGAAGAGACTGGACCACAGTCACCAACCACTAGGTGTCCAGTGGCAGGGTTTAAGCCCAAACAGGAAAGCCAAAGCCCCCTCCTCACCCCTCCTACCTGGATCCTTCCACACCTAGCCCTGGGTCAGGAAGGGAGGATGCGGCCTCTGGGGCCTGAGGGGCAGAATCACCAACAGGTCAGCCCAGCTCAGACTGAGCCAAAGGGACAGGGGGGAGGGTGTGGGAAGACCCCCCCCATGACTTTGTTACATCCGGAGGGGCCCTCCCCACCCCTGCTGACACAGGGATCACCCCAGGCAGGGACCAGAACCTTCTCTGAGGCTGTATCAACTTTGGGCAGAGACTGATTACTTCAGCCCGTGAGGAATATAGACCGATGGAGCTTGTATTATACTTCATGCAGGATTCCAGCATCACACCAGTCATCTGGTCCAGCCCCCTCGTGTTACAGAGAAGGAAACTGAGGCCCAGTACGCTGAAGGGTCATGTGGGACTCTTAGATCAGCAGAGTCAAATTGTAGGGGTCCTCAAGATCACTTAGAGCAGAAGCCTCTCCTTTTACAGATGAGGAAACTTAGGCTCAGAAACACTAAAGGATTTGTCTGAGATCATACAGGAAGGAAGAGTCTGACCTAGAATTTGAACCCAGATCTTCTGACGTTAAGAGACTTTCTGCTGGCATGATGTATCATAGAATGCCAGGTCTGGGAGGGGCCAGAGAATAGGGGATATGAGAGCAAGGGGTGGGGGGAACCTGAGAACAGGGGATATCAGGGCTGGGAGGGGTCTTAGAACACGGAACGTCAAATGACATAATTAAGAGGGATGTTAGAACGTGGAACATCAGAGCACAATTCTGAGTGGGGAAGGCCCTCAGAACACAGAACAGAGACTGCCAGAGCTGGGAGGGATCTCAGGCTATACTTCCACGGGCTCCCCAGAGTAACAGTGGCCATTGAGTCTGAGCCACAGCAGGACAGGTGTCCCCTCTCCCATATTCCCCCCAAGGCTTCCCCAGCCTCGGCTTGCAGACATCTCCTGGGGGCGAGGTGAGTTCTCTCCCAGGGTGGCCCACTCCACTTGGGGATGGCTCACATCCTTAGGAACCTTTTCCTGACATTGCCTTGGCTTGCATTCCCCTCAGAACAAGGTCAATTCCCCCTCCTCAGATTGAATCCTCCCTTGGTATAATTCTTCAGTTCCCCTTCAATCTTCTCCTCTCTAGGCTAAGCATCCCTGGTTCCCTTAGACACTCCTGGCATGACCCGAACTCTGGACCCTTCATCACTCCATTGCCTTCCTCCCATTCTAGTGAATTCCTTCCTTTTACAGGTGAGGAAACTGAGATTAAGAGAGGGGAAACAACAGGCTGGAGGAGTGACAGAGCCAAGAACAGAACATAGGGACCCTGGCCCCCAGCCTGGGGTCTGCCCTCGAGGCAGTGAGCGAGGGTCCTCTCTGGAAAGCCCCTGCCTTTCCCGTGACATCCACTGTGTGCTGGTGATTGAATCCGCCAAGAAAAGGAATTCATAAAATTGTATTTGGTTAGATTGAACTCCCAGAGTTGGTGAGGAAATGGGCAGTCCATACCACTTCCTGTACAGGTATATGATCTCCAATAGTCCTTGCCATCTGCCCTGTCTGCCCCTTGTGAAGGAACCTCATCCCTCTCCTCCTGCAACCCCAGGGAGCCAATGTGGATCTCAGCTGGGGCTGAGTTACCCAGATCAGAGAGGGTGAGTCAATCTTCCCATGAGTCCTAGGCTATCAGGTCTTCATGCCTCCCCCCTTAGCCAATCCCCAGAGCCTAGCCAGCACCAGCATCTCACCACCTGCCTTCTCTACGGTTCCACTCACTTTCCTGTGATATTGACTGCCTAGCCCTGTGCTCTCTGACATGAAGGTACTGCATGCCTTCGGTACCAGGTTCTTAACCTGGCACCCATATTATATTGCAATAGAATTGGTGTCCTTTGTAATCCTATGTATTTTGCCTCCTGCACTGAAGTCCTCTGCTGAGCAGGGGTCCTAGGCTTTGCCAAGCTTACTGCCCTAGGGCCGGAGCACCTGCCTTAGTCAGGCAAACACTGTCTCACTCCTGTCTTTGTATCTCCAGAGACAGCATCGTGCTCAGCACACAGTAGGTACTTAATAAATGCTTGCTAATTAATTTGGTCCTTTTTAGTTCTAAATCCTTAGATGCGAAGACATGCAAGCCTATAACCTGAGGGAGAGCTGGAGTGGTGTAAGTGCAAACTGAGAGCCTGCCTTGGAGTCAGCAAGACCTGTGTTCAAGTTCCCCGTAGCTACGAGGCTGGAGCAAGTCAGTCTATCTCTCAGTGAGTCGGATGATTCTCTAAGACTGCTGATCAGGGAGATTCCATGCCTGGAGTTCCCCAGCTAATGCAATCACGGGTTCAAGCTTCTCCTTAACTCCCTAGGCAGGTTCTGGTGACCTAGAATGTTGAACCCCCCAAAAGTCTAGAGCATCACTATGTCCCTGGGGCAGGGGGGCAGAGGGACAAGGTTTGATTTGAAAGATCTGAGCTCCACAGGCACATGTATTTTTCCCATCTGGAAAGGATCTTGGAGTCCAACCCCCATTTTACAGATGAGGACACCGAGGCTCAGAGTGACCTGTCCAGGGCCGCCCAGATGAGAAGTGTCTGAGGCAGGACGCTAACTGCTTCCTGGCAACACCTGCTGTCCTCATTGGTCCCTGCTCTCCCAGGAAGCTTCAAACTGAGAATCTGCTCTCCCCAGTGACCACATCTCCCTGGTGCTGACTTCCGTCAAGAGTGTGACCCAGGCTAACACGGGTCATCCGTGTCGTGTTTGTCTCTCTCTCTGGGTTGGCCACAGACCACAGCACTCCTAGGAAGGAGCAGATAAGTCTCAGGAAGACACCTCTCAGGGAAGTCCAATCAGACCTTCAGGTGCTCCTGACTCCGAGCCCAAGCCTCAGTGGGCTGTGCCCTGCTGCCTCTCACCCCCATTCTACACATGAGGAAAGCAAGGCTGAGAAAGATGAACTGATCTGCCTAGGCCAGTCAGCTAGTAAGTGTCTGGGACAGGCTGATTCCAGGTCTTCCTGACTTGTGGCCAGCATCCCAGGGTGATACGAATCGGCCCCTCCTCCTAATCTTCTACATAACTCAGTCTGAGAGTGGTCAAACTACCAGCCCAGGGTCATCCAGCAAGTAAAGTATCTAAAATGGAACTGGACCCTAGGTCTTCCTGACTCTAAGTCCAAGGCACCAGCCACCATGCCCAGCACTAAAAAAGGTGGAAACCATCTCAGAATAGAGGAGCATAAGGCTTTTTTAAGTGCTGGAAGGAAGTTTTGAAATAGTTTAATTTAATGCCTTCAATTTTACAAATGAGGAAACTGAGGCCCAACGGGAAGAAATGACTGGTCCAAGGTCACCCAGCTTGGTCTCGTAACCCGATTTCTAATTTTTGAAGCCATAATCCTGCTGTAGAAATCACCTGTTTCCTTTCCTTTTAGAAATGACTGGTGCTTTGAAGAGGAGGGTAACATAAGGTTAATTCAGAAAATCAGGAAGATCTGCTCAGAGAACAGCTCTTTCCAATACTTCATGGTGTTTGCTGAGGGAGGACCTCCCCCCTCCACGAAGATAAGACCCCCTGGTTCTTGGGACTGGCCTGGGCCCCCAGTGAGCGGGAAGGAACGGCCCATCCCTAGGAGTCTGCCTCACTCACACCAGCTCACCACAGTCCAATCCCTGCTGAGCGGGCAGCTGAAATGGAGTCTCTGAACCCATAAAGCCATGACCCCAGCCTGGAGCTGCCAGCTGCCTTTCTCCTAGTTACTGCTTCCTCTGCATCTCTCCCTCTCCTCCTCCCTCTGCAGGGAGCTCTGTGACCACCAGGGGCGCCTCCAAAGCCTCCTAGCTCTCTCTGACAAAGGCCAGGCCAGGGCACCAGGAGCTGACCAGCATGGCTGGAGTCCTGGCCTGCTCCATTATATCCCTGGCAGCTACAGAGTCTGGGGTTCTCTCTTCTGATTGCGGCTCAGAGCAGAGAGGGCTGCTGGTCTCCTCAGAACCTGTGGTTTCATCATTGTGGCTAACTACAAATGGGGGGCACCCCAATTGATGGTTTTACAAGCTTTTGGGGCTAACAATCCCCCCCACTCCCTGTGGTCAACCTGATGGGGACAGCCCTTCCCTCGGCCACTATTCCTTGATAGATGAGGAAATGGATTCAGCAGAAAGTGGGCCTGCCTCCTTCTCTGGGCAGCCCTCCCTATTTCCTTCAAGTCAACCAGCTCCCCGGCCTTGGCCACTCCTCTGCCTTCATCACATTCCTTCTCCTATCACACTCCTATTTTCTGCCTTCTGATTAAGTAGTAGGAAAAGCAGTGTGGCACAGGGTATAAACCCAGCACTGGAGTCAGCAAGACCTGGGTTCAGGCCCAGCCTCTGACAAATACAGGCTGTGTTAACTTGGACAAATCACCTTAGCCTTTTAGGGTTCTCTAAAGTCGGGGAGCAGGTGGTAACCTGTATTGGTGGAGGGAGTTGTCTCATCTGGGAGTTCTGTGCCAAAGAAATCACATATCTGGCCATTTCCCTATTAGATGAGAAGCATTTTGAGGGCAGAGGCTGAGCTCTCTTTACCTCTGCACCCCATCCTAGAGGCTGGGCTGGCACACGGTGTATGCTTAGGGGAATGAGTGTTTTGTCGATTTGCATGGGCTTGGATTAAGCTGCATTCAAAATACAGAACATTGGAGCTGGGAGGAACCTGACAGGTAGTCTAGAGTCCTAGCTATAGAGAAGTCTATCCCCTCCCCTCCATTTTACAGATGAGGAAATTGAGGCCCTAGGAGGGGAAGTGTGATGTGCCCAAGGTTACCCAGGCTGCATCTGAAGGCAGATTCTGCCAGTAACCTTCTCATGGTACCACCCTGCTCATCAGGTCTTCAGATGAGGAAACTGAGGTGCAGAGAGCCAGGGGTCATGCAGCAGCTTGGCTAAACCCAGAACCCAGGCTGTCCCAACTCCCTGCCCAGGCCCGTTCGATGAAAACTGCCTGCGTCCCCAAACTGAATTGGATTGACCCGCATTGATACCAGCTCTGCATGAAAATCTCTCCCTTTGGAACATCCAGTAATTACCAGGTGGGGAGCAGAAGTGCAGCCAGCCTGAGAGTCCACCTAACCTAGGAGCTTAACCTCCGATCTGTGCCAAAGTCCCCAGACTCTTAATAATCTCACATAGAGGAGAGGCCCCTGCCTGCAAGAGAATACAATTTTAATGCCTCCCAAGAAGGCATCTGCTAAGAGGAAAGGCAGCTAATGGCCAAGGGTAGCCCCAAGATGGGCTGCAGGCCCTGCCAGGACAAAAGGGAGGGAGGCCTTTTTCTAAGCAGATGCCCCATCCCCACCTCAAGGGCTCCAACTGGGGCTTTGCAACCTGCCTGGGAATTAGAGGGCAGGCAGTCTAGATCTCCAAGATACAACCCAAGGAAGGCCTCATTATTCCTGACTTGTCTGTCCTACAAGGCTGGCCCCCAGACAAAGGGAAAGCACCCAATGCCACAGAAGGAAAGGGACAATATAGGCACACACCTAGCTCCCCTGCCTGCCAGCCTGGCTCTGGCTGAGCCTGACACACAGAAGGGTAGCAGTGTTTCCCCCACACCCCCAGCCCCAAGCTCCCAATCAGGCAGGCCTTAGAGTTCAACTACAGCCCTGCTGAAATTGACCTGCCTTCCCCAGCCATGGCTCTAGCCAAGAAGGGTGCTCCACTAGCCATGGTGCTGAACTCAATTCCTAACCAGGCCCTTCTTCTGAAGGCCTCCTACTAGCTACTGAATCAGAAACAGTCTCTTAGCCCTTCCAGAGTCCTCGCCCTCTAGCCCTGAGCCAAGGTAATGGAGTGATGTCAGGCCCTACACTTTCGTACCTACAAAGGTACGAAAAGCGTTTTCTAAAAAAGTTACAAACCTGAATAATGATAGTATTTTAAAACAGCATTTTAAGATTTACAAACACACATCACCCCAAATGCCCTTTGGGGAGTTATGGTTCAGGCATTTCAGTAGTGTTCAACTCCCTGTGACCGCATTTGAGGTTTTCTCAGCAAAGATACTGGAGTGGTTTGCCATTTCCTTTTTCAGCTCAATTTACAGATGAGGAACTAAGTCAAACAGGATGAAGTGACTTGCCCAGGGTCACACAGCTAGGAAGTGTCTGAGGCCAAATTTGAACCCAGGAAGATAAGTCTCTACCTACTGTGCCACGCCTATGATCTCACTGGGCTTCAGTGTATCATCACCCCCATTTTAGAGATGAGGAAATAGAGACACAAGAAGGTTCAGCAACTTGCTTGCAATTAAATAGCAGGTAAATGCCTGAACATGGTAACAAAGCCAGGTCTGCTCCCTACTCTTTCTGGTGCTCCTAGGTCAGGGTGGCCTGAACCCACCAAGGTGCACAGGTGGCATAAATCACATGAAAATGATGAACTGGAAAGCTTTAGTAGGCTGAGGGCAGAAGCAGGTCCGGGGGAGTCTGCCCTCTCAGTCTCACCAATTCAAAGGGACCTAGGGATAAAGGCCACCAGGGGCCGGGGGAAAATTCAAGGGAACCTCCAGCTTGGAGTTACACAGGGGAAAGTTCAGCTCTACAAGAGAAGATCAGAGGGAGGCTAGTGAACAGCCTGCCAGGGAAATGGCACCCTGGGGCTTTGGCACCACAACCAGGTGGCATTAAGGGGATGCCCCACAGAGAATGGGCTTGGGGCTCTAACCACTAACATCTTCCCCTCAGAAGGGGGAGGGCTGGCTGGGCATCCTTTGGGAGGTGGGGGCTCCTTGCTCTGCTCTGGCATGGCCTCAATACCTTCCCTACTCTCCAGCCCTGATTTCCAGCAGGGAGCAAACCAAGGAGACTTCAAATGAGAGGCAGACAGAGCTGCTGGGGCCAGAGCCCGAGCACCAACATCCCTGTGGTGACCCAGGTGGCTCCAAGCTTCCCAAGGAGGACTCCTTAGAGCCACAGAATGAGAAGGCCCCCGTGGACAACCCACAGTGCAACAAGATTCCCTCGGTAACACTCCTAGTAGGGAGCGCCTCTCCTCCGCTCAGAGACCTGCGGGCCGCCCACTGGACGCTATAGAAGCTCATCATAAGATGAGCTGAATTTAGATGCTTGTCCACCAATCAAGCTGATATGTGCCTCTCCACCACCCCCACCAATTGCTCCTGCTTCTTCCCTCCAGGGCCAAGCTGAAGCAGGCTAAGCCCTATGCCTCTAGACCCTTAAAGACTTCAACCCTGTCTTCTCCAACCTAAATATTCTGTTCTTCTCTCCTGTCTCTTCCCCATCCTACTCATGCTCCAGTTTGTTAAAGTCTCTTCTAAAATGCAGCAGCCAGAACAGAGCATGATTCTCCATGTGGGGCTTGATTCAGGCAGGGGGCAGCAGCGAGCTCATTATTCCCCTTGTTCTAGCCAGGGGTGGGGAACCTGCAGTCTCGAGGCCACATGTGGCCTTCTAGGTCCTCAAGGGAGGCCCTTTGACGGAATCCACACTTTGTTCTGTGAAGTCTGGATTCAGTCAAAGGGCTACATTGTAACCCTCTGCTTCTAATAGTGAGGTCTAAGATTGATTTTTTTTTTTGCCTTCTTTTTTTGCTGACTCACATTGAGCTTACAGTTGACTAAGACCACCAGATCCTCTCCCAATTAATTGGTTTGCCAAGTCATCTCTCCCCAATTCCATATTGGTGCAATTGACTTTTTGAACCCGGTTCAGAACTTTACATTTATCATTACTGAATTTCATCTTCTTCCACTAATGGCTTCCTCTAGTGCCTCGTCATGACATGGAGACTGCTCTGGCTTTTCAGTTATTCTGTGCAATCTGGGGCAGGTCCTACTAAACTAGAAATGCCTTGAGTGTGGCTGGTGATGGACTGTTCATCTGAGGAAAGACAAACGTAGCATAGAGAGGCTCATCACCACAAATCTTGACTTTTTTTTAACTACTGTCATTCTCCTTCAGAGCAGGGCTGCGCCCAGTGATTAGGAGCTGGATAGACGTGAGCCAGAGCTCAGCTCCAGCCTGACCCTCGCTGCCACCAGGGGCCCCAGGACAGCAAAGGAAGGAAAAAGAACAGAGAGAAAAGGACACAAGAACTCACCTTGACTGAACCAATCCTCTTAGGACCAGAAAAGCAGCAGAGAAGGAAACAAGAGTTGTAGAAAGGAGAAATACAGAGCGATGATGAGAGGCGTAGTCCAAGGGCCTGGCTTCCCCACCCCCACCCCCAGGCCGCCTGGGGCCAGGCGGCAATCCCGCAGGGCCCCAGCAGATGCCCTCCCCCAGCGCCCGACTCCTGGCTCTCTCTCTGCAGGCCTCAGGTGGAAGATCCACTCTGGCCACCTTCACCACCAGATGCAGCTGAGAATTCTGCCCTCAGCCATGAGCTCCTGCAGAGTCCCAATGGAAGGAGCTTGGGCTGGGCAGGGTGCCACCCGCTGGGCGGGCTCTGAGATGCTGGGGGTCTCACTGCCCTGGGGGCTGGGCTGAATCCTGGGCTTGAGGGTCTTCACCTGTGACTTCATCAGGGTACGGAAGTCCCTCCACCAATACAGGCTGCCACCTGCTCTGCTGCTGACAGTCGGGGAAAAGCTGGGAATTTGTCTTTTCTATCTTTTTATGACTGTATTTTACTATACTTAGCACTATGGTTCCCTCTGGAGTCCTGTGGATTTTATTTTACTCATTTAAAAACATGAACCCTGAGAAAGGCTCCACGGGCTTCACCAGACTGGCTGTCTAAGGGGTCCTGGACACAAGCTCTTATTTTAGAGATGGATGGGGGCGCTGACCATTTCAGTGACTTGTCCAGGGTCATGCAGCCCTCAGAGATCAGAGGCAGGAGGCTTCCTGATGCTAAGACCAGCTCTCTCTACACTAGGCTGGGCTCAGTTCTTCTGAGTTTCTCAAGCAATGGGAAGGAAGCCTGGCCTATTTACCCACATAGACTTTCTTGGTTGTCCCTTTAGGAGTCAAGGGGAAATTTAGGAGTTAAGTGGGGGAAGCAGGAGGCCTCAAGTCCAGTCCACTGACTGAGGATCCTCTCTATCACATCCTTAACAATCATCTGCTCTTGGATACCCCCAGAGACGGGGAGCTCATTACTTCACTCGGCAGTTCATTCCACTTTGGGACAACTCTAGCTGTTTGGAAGTTTTTCCTGATGCCTAGACTACTTCCCAGCTTGCTAAGAGTTTCCATAGGACAATAAACCACCAGCAAAGAAACTGGCCATGAGTGAGCAGAGGTTTGGAAGAGGGACCGATGAAGACATCTTGGAAGGCCCAGGTGGATGAATCCTAATCTGTTTTGGGTGTGAACCGGCAGCAGATTTCTCTTCCAGAACCACAGGAGGAGAGGGGACCAATACTTCCCTCCAGCCCAGCTCAGGGGAGTGAGGATGGCTGGGAAGGCCTGAGCACCCGAGTCCAAGAGAAGGGGGACTCTTAGTTTGGGAGGGGGGAATTGCTTGTCTGTGCACTGATTGGGACTTTGGAGTCAGAGCTGGAAGGGAACTCACAGACACATCACCTACTATGTGCTTCTCAAAAGCCTCACCCTTGGAACTCTCTTTTTCCATGTAGCAGCTAGGTGGTGCAGTGGTTAGACTTCCAGGCCTAGAGTCAGGACTTGAAATCCCAGACTCAGACACTTCCTGGCTGTGGGACCCTGGGCAAGTCACTTTAATCTGTTTGCCTCAGTTTCCTCAACTGTAAATGGGGATCATAATAGCACCAACCTCCCCAGGTTGTTGCAAGGAGCAAATGAGGTATTTGTACAGTGCTGAGGACAGTGCCCGGCACATTAAGTGAGCACTGCATCAATGTTACTATTGCTTTTTTGTTATTCCCCGAGAATTAGCTCTGGAAAATGCACCCTTCAGACATGAGGTATGATGAAATGGGTCGAAGAGGAGAGGAGGGGAGTCAAAGAGCCGCGTACAAATGGCAGCGTCCACTGAAGGGGGGCAGGGAGTGATGAAATGGGGAGGGGGAGGCAGGCAGGCAGCGGATCTCAGCAGCCAGACAACCAAGCCACACCTAGGGACCTAGAAGATCCAGGATGTCTGGGGCCTCAACCCCAGGGACTGGCATGAAGTGAGGCCCGGTGAAAGCTGCCTGGTGAGGCCTGAGGGCTAGGGCGGGGCCCCCTGGACAGAAAGAGCTAACAGTGTGAGCCCCTCAGGTGGACTGTGGGGGAGGCCCTCCCTGGAGGGGAGGAGTGGTCAGGCCTCAGCAGCTCCCGCCATGCCCCCCCCCCGGCACAAAGGACATGCCCTATGCCCTGCCAAGAAGGGGGAACACTGGCCCCCCTGGAAGGAGCCCACCATCCTCCCTGCTTGTTCCAGTGTGGGCTCTGGGGGCTGGGGGTCTAGGGTCTGAGATGGAGAAGCTTGGCTGAAATGGTTGCCCCCCCAGCATGTAGGCCCACCACCCCTATATGAAGAGGTCAGGCTTCCCTGAATGAGGTCAGGCCCCTCTCAGGTTCACCCTGTCAGAGGCCACGCTTTCTCCCATCTGAGGGCAGGGCCAGGCCAGTTGGGACGTCCTCATGTCACCCTCCAACTCATGATGCAGAGAAAGAAATCTGGCCAAGTGGGAAACAGACCCCAGGCTCATGGGAGGGTGCCTCAAGGCCTAGAGGACCTTGGGGGGGGCATCCCCCCACCCTCTGACCCACCAATCCCCTGCCTGAATCTCAGGAGGGAGACTGGCCTTCTAAACCTCAAATCCCAGGCATTTCTCTCTGGCAGAAGCAAAGCACCCCATGGGGGGCCAATGTCAAGCATGCTTGAGCCCATTCCTGGGCTGATGGGGAGAAGTGCTAACAGGGAGGTGCTACCCTCTGACTGCAGAGGGCTGGGAAGGTGAGGAAGGGGGCAGAGTGGAGAACGGGAAGCACAGGGACCATCCTGGGAAAGTCACCTCCGCATGTCTGGGCCTCAGTTCCCTCATCTGTCAAACAGGGATAAGGGCATTATCTACCATCTCGAATGGCATGTGGTCAGACAGAAACTTGCCAGGGCTGAGGAGGACAGTGTTAACTCTGGGCCCAGAAGTCAGGCTTTGTTCCACCACTCTGAAAGCTCTGGGCCAGGGAGGGTCAGGGCAGTGAGGAGAGCCAGGGGGCCCCTGGGCCTGATCCTGAGACTCTGGGAGGAGCTGGGTGAGGGGGTAAGTTACAGCCCAGGGAGCCAGCCCACCCCCACTCCCCAGCCCTCTCCGGGGCCTGGCGGGCCACCCTAGGCACACACCTTTGGCTTTCTTGCTCCCAAAACAGCTAGCATCATCTTTCTTCCTCCGGGGCAGGGCCCCCGTGCTGGCCGCCTGGCTGGCCTCGGGCTCCTGGTACTTGTCAGCACCCGGGACCTCCTTGTGCACGTGGTAGGACAGGTTACGCATGATGCACACACAGTTTTCCACCGACTGGGGAGAGGGACCGGAAAGGGGTTTGAATAAAAGGAAAATCAGAGTCTCAAAGACATCGTCCAGCCCTGCCAGCCCCTGTTCTCAGGCCCCTCCCATCTCTGACACTCTCTGGACTAAGTCCTGTCCCCCTTCCAATTCAGTGATTCTAGATAGAACATTCAAAATGGAAAGTCCTCTAATCCAGCCTCATACTCTCAGTTCCAAGCCTCTTCCACTTCCCTGAGCCCAGGTTCCATCCTGTTAGAATCTCTCACTGCTGCTGAAGAAAGCCTTCTCCCCTCTTTCACCCCCTCATTCTGCGGCCTGACCAGATTAAAAATAAAACCCCACCAGAATCCCAGAACGGTAGAACTAGAAGACAGCTTAGAAGCTGCCGCTCCAGCCTGGACCTGCCTGAGAAGCCACTCTCCAACACCCCTGACAAACGGCCGGCCAGCCAGCCACTGCCTGGAGACCTCCAGTGACGGGGAACTCACTACCTGCTGAGGCTGCCCATGCCCCTTGGGACGGTGCTCAGTATTAGGAAAGTTTTTCTTGATATTGAGCCGAAAATGACCTCTAAACTCTCCCCCTTGGTTCTTGATTCTACTCGATTCAATATTTCATACATGGACATGAGAACCCTGCTTTCATAGGGGACTTGTGAGGACCAAAGAAATATAACACCCTGCCCCTAATCCGGTCAGGGATGAAGAGACCACCAAGGCCATCGGGTCCAAACACCTCACTACAGGTGAGGAAACTGAGACCCAGTGATAGGAAATGACCTGTCAAAGGTCACCCCCTCAATAATGAGTGAAACTGGGATTCAAACCCAGGCCCTGTCCTTTGAGGTCACCATCCAATCACACTTAATCCCTGATACAAGCCTAGTGACTTATAGGTCACCTCCCCCATTAGACTGGGAGCTCTTGGAGGCCAGGGGCAATGAGTTTGCCTTTTTTGGTTTCCCCAGTGCTGGCACACAGTAGGTGCTTAATAAATGCTCGTTTCTGTCTTGCCTTCAGAGGTTACCATCCATTTACACTACATCTCATGCATCTCTTTATATCTCTGTCTCTCTAGTTTTTTATATGTCCTCTTCCCCATTAGACCGGGAGCTCCCAGAGGCCAGGGTCGATGACTTTGCCTTTCTTGGTTTTCCCAGAACCAACACATAGTAGGTGCTCAATAGATGCTGGTTGACTGACAGACTGATCTCCATTATACTGCCTGGGCTCGTCTTCCCTGTAGAGGCCCCTGTCCCAAAGGAGGAGGGCTCCCTGTGTCCTGAGAGCCCCTGAGGGAGGGCGGCCAGCCCAGTCCCCACGTCCAAGCACCCCAAGCTGTGTGGAATCATTACCTTGTTGTCTGTGTCTTTCTTGCCGATGGCTGACTGCAGAGCGTGAAGGAGGGCGTCCACCAGCCCGTCACATTCCCGAAGCCGCCGGCGCGCTTCTGCCCCATCTGAGCTCACGTTCCTAGGGAGAGCGAGGGAATCTGGTTAGCCCATTGGGCCTCTGGGAAGCTCAGAGGCCTGGGAGTCGGGAGAGCCAGCTCTAACTAGGGAATGAGGCAAGCTGGGCCAGGGGTAAGACCCCTGGCCTCTGGGGTCAGAGGGCCTGGACTCCAGTCTGAGATCTGACACTCACTCCCTGTGTGACCTTGGGTAAATCAATTCACCTCTCTGGGCCTCAGCTTCGCCACAAAATGAGGGGATTGGCTTCCACAGACTTTGAGGTCCCTTCCAACTTGGGCCTTAGGAATGAGCTGGTCAGCCTTGGGGAAGGGGCAGGGCAAGGTGGAGAGAGCCTGGGACCAGGAGCCAGCAAGCTCGAGCCTGAGGGGACATTCACCAGGCTACTCCTCTGGCCTCAGTTTCCATATCTGTCCCCTCCAGAATCCCCTCAGCACTTCTCAGAACCTAAGCCTTGATTAAATTCAGGCCGGGAGGCAGACATGGAGAAAGGGGAGGCTAGAGGTTGTCCCAGAGAAGGGCATGGGTCCAGCGTCCTCTCTGCGGGTCCCAACTACGTCCACTCCAAGGACCCAAGTGACCCGAGGATGCTTCTTTTTTTCCTCCTGGGAAGGCCACAACCAGTGTCTCCAGGGCTCTGGGGAGCAGGGCTTGTCTCTTCATCTCAACAGTGAAGACACTGTCTTTATTCCTTAGACCTAGTGACAGGGCCTTCTGCTCTCTGACCCAGAGTGGCCTAAAGGGGCTGGGCAGTCCTTAAAAGGTGCTATCAAGAATGCCGTCCTTGCAACACCATGGTAGCACCAAACCTCCGGGCATCCTCTGTGCCTAAGACCTCAGACAGCTTTCAGCGTGGCCCAGCACAAGGTAACATTTGGTCAGCCTCCGAAGCCCTAACCCAGCTTTCTTTCCAGTGCACACTGTCCTTCCTTTCTCACATTGTTGTCAAGCATGGAGACGACACTGGCTTCAAAGTCAGAGGACCTGGGTTCAAATCCTGCCCCTGCTGCTTCCCACCTGTATGACCTTGGACCAGTACTAGTCACTTCACCTCAGGCGCCTCCTCTGAAAAATGAGGGGGGTAGGGTGGACTGGAGCCCCCCTGAGGCTCCTCCCAGTTCTAGATTTTTGAGCTGTGGCTCAGGATTAAGCAAGGAATAAACGCACTCTGGTCCAGTGCCCATGTCTAGACTGGACCATCTGCATCCTCCCTTTTCACAAGCATTGAATGCCAACCCTTTCAAAGCATTTTCATGTCGACGATCTCATGACATCTTTCTGAGGGAGGCTGGGCAAGGGTTAGTGTTCACTTCACAAGTGAGGAAACAGGCCCAGGTGGCAGCAGGACTCTAGAGTTAGGCCAGAAGAGACTGCAGAGCATTTGGTCCAAACTCACAGATGGGGAAACTGAGGCCCAGGAAGGGAAGTGACTTGTCAAAAGTCACAACATTAGCAACTGTCAGAGGATTGGAACTCAGACGCCAGACCCACTAGGCTTTCCATCATACCATACAAAGGGCTCAGCTCTGGAAGGGTCCTAAGAGACTGCAAGATCATGGACAAATCTCAAGTCATCTCATTTTACAGATGGGGAAACTGAGGCCCAGAGGGGCTCAGGGCACCCAGATAGCAAGAAGATCTGAACACTGAACCCGGGGTTCGGCCCAGCATGCTCCCTGTTGTCCCCTACTCCCTGCCTCCCCTGGGAGGGGACTTGGCAGAGACACAGGGCTGGGGGTGGGACCCAGGGGTCTGGGCTCCCAGCCCGCAGCCCTTCCCTCTGGCTAGCGGACCCGGCACTCCCTCCCTGCTCCCCTCCCTCCCCCTCCTCCCAGCTTTTCTCCATTCCCGGTCAGGCCAGCACTTTGTGCTCTATTCCCTTCCACAAAGCATTCCTGGGGAGGCGGCAGTGACCCCTGGGGTGAGCTTCCCAGAGCTGGAGGAGAAGCAGGCCCACCTGGTTCTCCAATCTCCTCAGGCCTGGCCAGGGGCAGGGGCCGTGGCCTCCAGCTGGGAGTTCCCCTCTCCGCTGAGGCCCGCCTCTGGCTGCCCCCCTCACCTTCGGGAGGGTGAGGGGAGCAGGGGCTACAGCCTTCCCAGGGCTGCGGCCCCCCTGCTGGTCCCCCTCCTGCTCACCCCCCAGAAACCCGGACCTGCAGATCCAGGAACGTGGGTGTCCAAGACGCCTGCTAGGTAAGGTGCGATGGAGGGCACAGAGAAGGGGGCGGAGGGACGAGGGGGCCCCGCCCTCCAGTCCCCAGCGCTCTCTCTGCCCTCTCCTCCCAGGTGGGGGGCAGGGCCCAGGGAAAAGCCCACTCTACATTGGCGTGGGACGGAGTCGATGTCAGCAAAGACTCAGCCCTGAACTGAAAGGACAGGGGGCCTTCGGGGTGCATCAAAGGGCCCGTGTTTGCTGATTGACTAATTGCCTGATATTACAATGGTTACAATTATTATCATTACTCTGAGTAACCACATTATACTGCCTGTTGCTCAGTTGTGTCCAACTCTCCATGACCCACGTGGGGTTTTCTTGGTAAAGATACCGGAATGCTTCGCCATTTCCTTTTCCAGCTCATTTTACAGATGAGGAAACTGAGGCAGGCAGCGTGAAGTGACTCACCAAGGGTCACATAGCTAGTAAATGTCTGAGGCCAGATTTGAACTCAGGAAGATGAGTCTTCCTGACACCAGGCCCAGGGCACTGTGCACTATGGCATCCCCTTGCAGCCCCTTATGTCGTCTTAGCATGCAGTTCCACTTTTAGAGCCAGAAGGGACCTCAGAGGGGATCTCATTCAACCCCCTCATAGTACCCCTGGGGAAACTGAGGCCCAGGAAGGGACTTGCCCAAGGCCACACGCATCCTAAGAGGGGGAGCTGGGACTGTCATTCTGATGCCCACATGTTGTCTCCCCTGAGGAGAACGTGAGCTCCTGGACTCTAGCACCTGGCACACAGCAGGCGTTTACTAAATGTTAAGGCAACTGGACCAAAATGTCCTGGCTGCTATGAAGGCCCAAGGCTCTGGTGACACACATCCCTTTAGTCAAGCTGTCAGTAAGCATTTAGTAAGCACCTGCTGTGTGCCAGGTACTGCGCTAAGTGCTGAGAATACACAAAGTAGACCCCAGGGTCTTAGATAAGAGATTTGGAGCCCGACGAGGACAAGGCCTCACAGACTACTTCATTTTACAGATGAGAAGACAGAGGCTCAGAAAAGGAAGAGATTTAGTCAAGGTCATTAGTGTCAAAGGCAGAATTTGAACTCAGACCCTTCCATTATTTACTTCAGCAAGCTGCCACCAGGCTTCCCTCCTGTCAAACCTGGGGCCCTCTCGCTGCCCCAAAGTGAGAAGGGCGCTGTAACGGGAAATGAGGGCCTTCTCGGAGCCAGGCCAGCTGCACTAGGAGAGGGAATTTCACACATTGGTGCACACAGTAGGTGCTTCATAAATACGCACTGCTCTACTGATCATTCCCATTTCACAGAGGATCAGAGACCCAGAAAGTTGAGTGGACTCGCTAAGAGTCTGAGGCAGGATTTAAACCCAAGCCTTCCTGATTCTAAACAGAATGCTCTCTCCATAAATATTCCCCCTATTTTATAGATGGGAAAACTGAGGCCCAGTGAGGTTGAGTTTGTCACTTCTTGCACTCAGGTCTTTGGCCTTTGTGTTCAGCTCTCTTCTCCGTTTTGCATAGGGATGGAGAAGGCAGCAGATGGCAGGGGGAAGGCTGTCAATCCCCACCTCCCCAATGTCAGGCCCTGACTCAACTGCCCCCAGCTGGCCCCTCAAGATGGCCATCGCCTGTGTGTTTGGGCTCAGATCCTCATGGTCATTTCATTTGTTCATCGATGTCAAAATGTCACCAGGCTGATCTGCCCCCTCCTGACTGGCTCTCCTCTCTGTCCTCTCCCACCTTCCCTCCTACAATGGCCACACTTAACCAGCCTCATCCCCAAGGACCCAGAACGAGAGCCGAAGGAGGCCAACTCCTCAACTTCACAGATGGGGAAACTGAGGCTCAGAAAGTTTCCGCTCACACAGTCTTCTTTCTCTTCTACTCCCTGCCTCCCCTGGCTCACAGATGAACGGCTCCTCTGCCTGGCATTCAGGGCTCTCTGTATAGCAGGCCGCTCCACTGATTCAGCCTACGCTGATCCACACAGAGTAGCACAGGATGAGGCGATCCACTGAGGCCCAGAGAAAGGGGCTGTCTTGCCCTGGGCTACACGGTGACCTTGGCTGGGGAGCAGGAGAGGCCGGGGATGTTGCTGGACATCCACTCTGGTCAAGACACCAGAGCCCGGCAAAGTCTTGCTAAGACAGACAAGCTGCAGGATTCAGGCCACGGCAGGAGCCGGGCTATTTCCAGGGGGCCGGGGACATCATAAGAAGCCAGATTCAGGGTCAGAGGACCTTGGGCCTCAGTCTCTCTTTCTGTAAAAGGAGAGGAGTCTAGGCTAGCTGCTGTCTGAGGCCCCTTCCTGCCCTGACACTGGGACCCTGGGAACTCGCTTGGCTGCCCTCCGCTGCCGTGGACGTTCTCCTCCCACCGTTCACGGACCCCACCACCTGCTCTGTCCTTCGGCTGGCCCTTTAAGATGGAGAGCTCTCCCCACCCCAGTTATCATTTTTCTCCATGGCAACGCTGAGTTGACATGGGGTCAGACAATTATTCCAAAGGAGCTCAAGCTGAAGGGGCCTCAGAGACTCTTTCTTCCAATCCTCCCCCAACCTGCTCAGATTTATGGATGGAGAAATTGAGGCCCAGAGAGGGGATGGGAGGATGGACTCAGTCAGAGCCACAGCAGGGACTCGAACCCAGGCCTATGGATGCACATGGGGCCCGTGCTCTTGTCATGCAGCTCCCTAAGAAGCAGCTGACCCACTTTTCCTCCTCGGGGTAGGGAGCGAGGAGGGGGAAGAAGGTGGGGGAGCCGCTAATGAGGACTCGGAGCCGCTGTGCGAGACACTGATTCTGCCCACAGGGAAGTGGGTGCTAGCCTTTGAAATGAGCCTGCTTGGGCTGGCCAGGGTTTCTAGGACGACACCCGCCCACTCTGCTCCCTGCGACCCCCACCCCGTGTTTCTGGAGGAGACGGCACTCAAAAGCGTAATGAAGGCTTGGGCATGATGCCACGGACAGAGCCCTGACCCCAGAGCCAGAGGACCTGGGTTCGAGGCCCGTCCCTGATGACCCGTCCCTGATGCTTCCTACCCATGTGACCTGGGCCAAGTCACAGATTATTCCTAGGCCTCAGTTTCCTTATGCATAAAATGGAGCAGATGGTCCCTGGGGTCCCCCAGCTTTGTATCGAGATTCCCCAGAGGGTGACCGTCTTGGAGAACTTGGGGAAGAGGGCTTAGACTTCCCACAGGCCCCCAGGGCAGCCCAGCCTTGACCAACGGTCCCTTCGTCCTGACAGTAGCCACCAGCCTGCCGAATCCCCTGCGAGGCAGCTTGCGTGATGAGGAGGGTTTTATATTGAGCCCAAGTCTGGCTCTCTGTATCCACCACGGCTCCTGATTCTGCCCCGCTGGGGTTGAGGAGAACAGGCTAATTCTCCCTTCAGTGGGTCCTCTAATGACGCAGCCTCGAGGCCCTTCCCCCGGCTGCCCTGGTCTGAGATGGCAGAGGAGAGGGGGCCCGTCCACCAGTCAGTCGGTCAATAAACCTTATTAGGCACCTACTATATACCAGGCCCTGGGCTAAGCGCTGAGGTTTTCTTAAGGGCCCTATGGGCTCTAAACCTTGTGACCATCGAGAGGCCTGGAATGCAAGGGCCAGCCCTGCCTTTCTGTCTCCAGAGGGAGGGCGGCCCACCTCCACCAGGCCCCCCCCAGCTGGGACTGCCACTGTGGTGGATGCTGCCCGGGAGGCAGAGGCTGGAGGTGACAGGAAGTCACCAATCAGCTGAGGGGGGACCAGGTGCACTTCAGGGCCCCAGAAAAGCCCCCAGCTGCTCTCCAAGGAGCGTGCTCGGCCCCAGGGAGCTGCGGAAAGGGTCGGGATTACCTTCTGAGGAGGGCGGCTGCCATCACATCCTAGCCGGCCTTCCCACTTCGAATTATTTCCTGTTTAACCTGTCTCTAGCCTGCTTTGTATGTTCGTTGGTGTGCTGTCTCCCTTGTTAGATTGTAAGCTTCCTGAGGGCAGGGACTGTCTTTTGCCTCTTCGTATCCCCTGGCTTAGCACAGTGCCCGGCACATAGCAGGCGCTTCATAAATGTTCACTGAGAGACTGACAGTCAGAAAGACTCATCTCATGCATCCCTCTGCTCCCCAAACCTTCAGTGACTGGCTACCCAGGAAAGTTCAGCCTCCTTGTGCTTGGCATTGAGGGCCTATGCAGGGTGGTGGCAGCTTTCCTTTCCAGCTTTCCCAGAGCACTTCCACTCTCCAGGCAAACAAAACGATTCTCTGTCCCCACCACAACATGTACTCCCCCACCTCCTCCTGCCGGGAAAGGCCTGTCTTGGGCTCTCCCCTGGTGGGATTCTCGCCCATGATGGCTTCTCCGTGCTCTTTTCTTTGGGACCAGAGGATCGCACGCTTTGTATCTGGGTCCTTAGCACTGGGCGCACACACACACGGCAGAAGATTAATGAATGCTTGTAAGTGGATTGATCACTCAATGTACTGGAGGCCAGGGGAGGAAGCAGAGAGTGGGGGGCTGTGGGGGGCTGTGGTGGCGGAATGCGGCATACACAGCTGCTGTGCTGGAGGAGGGGCATAACTGGGGCGTCAAAGCCACCACCTTAAAAAGCACAATGTGGAGCAGCCCGCCTGAGGGCAAAGTGACTGGAGGGAGGTCCTTTTCCCCTGGACTCCCACCTGGTCTCCAGGTACTCCTAGAACTGCAAATTCCTAGAATCCCAGAGCTGGAAGTCAAACTCAGACCTGAACAAGAGTCATCTCTAGACCATTCCCGACAAACTGTCTTCCAGCTTCTGCTTGAAGACTCCCTGGGCTGGGGAGCTCACTACCTCCCATCCACTCCCAAACAGCTCTGATTGGTAGGAAATGTTTCCATCTGTGGAAATTAAGTCTTCCTCTGCCCAGCTCCTCCCTGACCCCCAAACCTGGACAGAGGCCTGCCTCCGTTTTCTTTGGGCCTAGCCCTTCATACTGAGCGTGGCCATCAGGTTGAGCAAAATCACGGAGCCGCCAGTGATGTTCCTAACTCACAGGCGGGACAGGGTCACTGTCCTGCCCTCAACTCCAGTGACTCCCTAAAGCCATTAGGAAGAAGTGCAAGCTCGTCCGCTGAGCGTTTGAAGCCCTTCCCAACCGGGTCTCAACCCACTTTTCCAAGGCGATTACACACGCTTTGCTTGTGCTCTAAGATCCCGCCGATCAGTCTCCACTCCTTCTCCGCCTTTTCACTGTCCTGAGGTCCCGGATGCTGGGAAGGCCCCCCCTTGTCGCCCCGCCCTGCAGAGGGCCTAACTCCCCTCGGTCCCAGCACCGTCCCCGGGCCCAGCGGCCTCGTGTTTGCTTCGTCTCTGTCCAGACGAGGTCCCGGTCTCTCCCCTGACAGAGTGTAAGCTTCCTGAGGGCAGCCATCATTTGTCTCTTTGTGCCCGGCACACAGATGTCCAGGCCGGTGTTTGCTGTTTTGTTCAGCTGTTTCAGTCATGGCTGACTCTTCGTGACCCTCTCTGGGGTTTTCTTGGCAAAGGTACTACAGTGGTCGTCATTTCCTTCTCCAGCTCATTTTACAGATGAGGAAACTGAGGAAAATGGGATTACGTGACTTGCCCAGGGTCACACAGCTGGTAAGTGTCTGAGGCCAGATTTGAACTCAGGAAGATGAATCTTCCTGACTCTAGGCCTAGCACTCTATACACTGCACCCCCCAGCTGCCCTCAGACTGAGACCTAGCAGGAGTTTAATTAATGCTTGTTGACTGACCCCAGGGACCTGAGATGATGAGAAGCACTGGGTGTAGTCATTGGTAACCTTTCCTCCTTCCACCCTCTCACCAACTGTGTGACCCCGAACCAAGATCAGATCAAGTCCGCCATCGAGCCTGGATGGGAAGGGTCAATTTGCTCCCACTCACAGGACCTAACTTTCCAGAGTCCCCTGCCCATCACTCCCCTGGGTGTTTTATTTCCCCGTTAGAATATAAGCTCCTTGAGGGCAACATTGTCTTTGCTTTCGCATTTGTGTATAACTATCTCCCAGCTCTTGCTCCCCTGTGCAAGCCAATTTTGGGGTGATTTTCTTGGTCAGCGTCTGTAGGCCACGGATAACAGTGACTATATTGAGAGGCTCATAGAAGCTTAGCACAGTGCTTGGCACACATAAATGCTTAATAAATTCTTTTTGTTTTTGTTTAAATAACCTTTTGCCTCAGTTTCTTCATCTATAAAATGATGGTATCTATGATATATATTTTATATAATCTACAAAATATGACGCAGATGATATAATCATCTACAAAATGATACTGAATTAAATGTCAATCAGTCAAACATTTATTAAGCACTAATTATCTGCCTGGGCACTTAATGAATGCTCACGGACTAACTTGACTGCTAGACATGGGGCTAAGCACTGAAGACACAGAGGAGGGCAGAAACATGGGTCCTGCCCTCAGGGAGCTGACATTCTAACGGGGCAAAGAACGTGCAGACCGACATGTAGATGACCACGAAGGTCCCTCCTCGCGTGAAGTCTGCGATCCTACAGAGCTCAGTTTCCTCATTTGTTGAACAGTAACAACACCTGCCTCCCAGGTGGCTGCAAGGCCTGAGTGAGAGAATGTTGGTAAAAGCTACAGAAATGAGAGCCATTGCTGAACCCATTTGGCAGATGGGAAAACTGCGGCCACAAGAGAAGGGACTTGGCACAAGACTGCCCCATGTGAATGAGTGGTGGCCTCTGGGCTTCTCTCCTTCTCTCTTTCTCTCTCTCTCTCTCTCTCTCTCTCTCTCTCTCTCTCTCTCTCTCTCTCTCTCTCTCTCTCTCTCTCCCTCTCTCTCTGTCTCTCTGTCTGTCTCTTCTCTCTCTCTCCTCCTTCCTCTTCTCTCTTCTCCCTTTTTCTGTCTCTCTCTGTGTCTCTCCCTCTTCCTCCTCTCCTTTCCTCTTCTCTTTCTCTCTCTCTCTGTCTCTCTCTCTCTCTGTCTCCCTCCCCCCTCTCTCCCCTCTCTTTCTCCTCTCCTCTCTCTCTCTCCCCCTTCCTCTTCTCTCTTCTCCCTTTTTCTCTGTCTCTGTCTCTCTCTGTGTCTCTCCCTCTTCCTCCTCTCCTTTCCTCTTCTCTCTCTCTCTTTCTCCATCTCTCTCTCTCTGTCTCCCTCCCCCCCCCCCTCCCCCTCTCTCTCTCTTCTCCTCTCCTCTCCTCTCCTCTCCTTTCTCTCCCTCTCTGTCTCTCTCTGGGGTTGCCAGCGCTCTTCCCCTGGCACGTCCAGTGCCTGGCAGGGCCGCCTGCTCTGCCGCCTTTACCTGAGACATCCTGACGTGTTCTTGAACACGGTGGTCCACTCAGCGTCCCGCGGCTTCGAGTCCTCATTGGGCTCGCTCTCCCAACCTGAGTGGGGGACAATCACCTCATTGGTCAGGGTCTGCAGGCCATGGTTGATGATGACCATCTTGAGAGGCTCATAGGAAGACAAGTTCCACAGTGTGCCTGAAAGACAGAAGGTGGTCACGGTTCAGAGAACATCTTGGAGCACTCCATGGCAGGCTACTGTCTGCTCTGGGGCAGGACTGGGAATAACCAGGCAAGGCTGTAGAGACCCATAAGCCTGGATGAGAACTGTCCCATGGGGGAACTGCCTGCCCTAGAAGGTAGTGAGCTCCCCATCCTTGGAGGTCTCTAAGAAAGGCCAGATGACCCTGAGAAGCATGGTCTTCTTGGCACCCGGGCAACTGCCCAAAGGCATGTGTAGATGGGTGGCACCAATGGGCAAGGGAACTGCGTCAGAGGACCTGGCTGTGAATCCTGGCTTGGGCACATACTAGTTTAACTGTGTGAAGGGATTTGGCCAAGTCTCTTTCCCTCTCTGGGCCTCAGTGACCCAATCTGTAAAACGGGGCCATATCAATACTCACTCCAGATCCCACAGTTTTCTGAGACTGAGGCAGACAACCAGGCATTTGTAACTTATCAAGCCCAGCATTTGCCATAAGACAGAGTGCCTTGTCCCTCCATTCCACTTGGCCATCGCTGTCTCCCGCGAAAGAACAGAAGTTCCTTTAGGGAGGGAACTGTTTCACTTTTGTCCATGTATCATAGGGATCTGAAGTCAGAAAGTCTTGGGTTCAAATCCTGCCTCTGAGAGACTCACTGGTGACCCTGGGCAAGTCACCTGACTTGCTGCAGTCTCAGTTTCCTCATCTATAACATGAGGAAGGATAAGAATGGCATCTGCCTCATGAGGTGTTGTGGGTCTCCAATCAGATCCTGGGTATAAAGCATGTTGTGAATTCGAATATAACGAAATAAATGTCCGTTAAAAATGACAGTTTTAAAACTTCCAACTAAACACCACAATAGAAATCCTGAAAATCAAGGGAGAGATTAATAAAATCGAAAGTAAAAAAAAATGAATTAATAGATAAAACTAGGAATTGGTGGGGGGTTTTTAGAGAAATGTCTATTATTATCATCATTGTTCTAACAATTCCCTGGCAGTCTAATGGAAAGCAGGCTGCAAAGAGACCAGAGGCCCGAACCTGAATGCCAGCTGACATTACCTAGGTGGGTGCCCATACACAAGGCCATTCAACTTCTTGAGCCTCAGTGTTATCGCCTGGAAAATGGGGAAAATAATTCACATGCTACTTCCTTCCCTCCCTCTGAACAGGACGAGGAATTCTGTGAACCTGGAATAATTTTGGAATCATGAGCAGCTACTAGGCCAAGAAAACCATGAGGGGTTAGCTGAGGATGAGCTCAGCACATTGCAGTTCCTTAACAGCTCTGGCCCACAATGACCTTGGACATTCAGAGGCTTGGGTGGCCTATGGGGTGGGGGCAGGCCCAGCTCCTGCCTGATGGAGCTGGCACAGGGCTTTAGTCCCATCACTGAATTCCCTGGGCACATCTGATTCCACCCGCTGTAAGAATCCAATCCAACATCCTTGGTTTGAGGGCTACTGGTGAACGGGACTGGGACACAAAGGAAAAATGGCCATCTCTCTACAACATCCAGGGCGCGTGGGCCTCCTCTGCTCAGATACCTCCAGGATGGGGAGCTTACTCTATATACTTTCAATATTATAGATACTAATTGTTGGAGGGTCCCATTTCACTCATGCCCTGGCCAACCCTTCCACACCAATTTCCAGCTGGGACCAAAATGGAATCAAAATTTTGTTGCTAATGGATAGCGTATCAGCGTTACCCTCCTCTAGTCCCACTCACCATCCTCATACCTGGCCACGTCACCACTCCCTACATGTGGTCAGGAATGAAGATGGAGTAGGAGAGGATGAGATAAGGAAGAGTGAGGGAGATAAAGAGAGAGAAAGGGGTGGGAAGGAGGCTAGAGCGGATGGGGAACGGGCACAGGGTGGAACAGGGCGAGAGAAGGGCTAAGCTTGGGGCTGGGGCTGGGCATGGAGGGCACTCACCAGTGATGAGCTCCCGCACCTCCATGTCACTGGTCTTGCGCAGGAGCCGGATGAGGGCGGGGATGCCGTCGCAGCCCTTGATGGCCACCTTGTTCTCGTGGTCACGGCCGTAGGAGATGTTGCGCAGGGCCCCGCAGGCCCGCCGGTGCACCTCCGCCTTGGGGTGGTCCAGCAGCCCCACCAGGATGGCGATGCCCTTCAGGTGGCGCACATCCTTCTTGATCTTGTCATTCTCGTAGCACAGATGCTGCAGGTAGGCAGCCGCGTTGGACTTGACGGGGTCGATGGGGTGGCTCAGCATGGCAATCACCTCCGGCAGGTCTGGGTCCCGCCACCGAGGGTCCTTGCGGATGCTGTCAATGGAGGGTGACCTCTTGCCCAGGCGGTCGATGCTGGCCATGCTGCCCCTCTCGGGTTGGGCTAGCGGGGCGGCATAGCCCCCATGGATGTAGGGGATCCGCTCATCAATCATCTCACCCTCTGATGGTTCATCGTAGGCTCTGAGGAGGAAAGGAAAGCACAAGGGCAGATGAGCAGCCTCTTCCATACGCCCTGAGACCCAGGCCTAGGAGAGGAGGCGGAGCAGAGAGAAGCAGCTTGTTCTGCAGGGAGATCCACCCTACCACTTCCCTGGGACCTTCTATCTCCTAAGAGAATGCAATCGTATCACAGAACCCAGGAGAGATTACAGGATTCCTCAGCCAGATGTCCTCTGAGCCCTGTGGCCCTTCCCAGAACCTCCAGTTTAAGGAAAGTGCCCAGGCCCATCAGAGCCTCTTTCCTCTCCAGGCTCCCTTCCTGACTCTGGAATTTTTCTACCATTTCCCCTTTGAGCTCCCTTCTGTGCGCTGTCTCTTCCCATTAAATTGTGAGCCTCTTGAGGGCAGAGACTTTTCTGTCTTTCATTGTATCTCCAGTACTTAGCACAGTGTCTGGAACGTGGTAAGCATGTAATGAATGCTCATCAATGACTTGGATTGGGGGGAGGGGTGGTCAGGAGACCTGGCACCAAACCCCAGCTCTGTGACTGCCTAGGCGTGTCACCTTGGAGAAGGCTCCTACTGTCTCTCAGCCTCAGTTTCCTCAATTGTTAAAATGAGAGGCAGAGCCGGGGGGGGGAATCTAAGGAGGGCTCTGATGATAATAGCTCATGTTTATGTCATGCGTTAAGGTCTGCAAAGAGCTTTGCATAAATTAATTGGTTTGATTCTCATGATATGGAGAAGATGCTGTTATTATCCTCCTTTTACAGATGGGGAAACCGAGGCAGACAACATTTAGGTGACGTGCCCAGGGACACACAGATAGCACACATGTGAGGCCTGGTTTGAACTTATGTTTGCCCAGCACTCTGTGTACTATGTCACCTAAGTAGCTTCAGGATGGGTAGGGTGGTGAAGGGACATTACAGGTGGTGGGACACTTTCATAGGTAGCTAGGTGGGCAGAGGATAGAGTGCCTGGAGTCAGGAAGACCCGAGTTCCATTCTGGACTCGAAATCCAACTAACTGTGTGACCCTGGACAAGTCACTTAGATTATGCCTACCTCAGTTTCCTCATCTATAAAATGGTTACAGTACCTACCTACCAGGGTGGTTGTGAGGTACAGAGGATATATAATTGTAAAGATTACACATTTAAAGTGCTATCTCAATATTATTATTATACCTCTCCTGCTCCCCACCCTGCTGCAGAAGTTTAAAGATTGGGGGTGATGGGCTGTTCTCTGCATCCCCTCTCCTGGCCTGGAATGCTGAGGCAGGGATGGGCATGAAAGAAGAGCAGATGCCCCCGAGGGAGCTACAGCCATGATCCTTCTGGACAGAAGCATCCCTGTAGGGATATGGGAGAGCTGGCCTAGGGTGTGGCAGAGAGCTGTGGTCACGGCAGGGTGGGGAGGAGAAGGACTGGGCCCCGAGGTGGGAGTGGGGTGGTGACTGTCCCGGGGTCCTTGGCCGAGGCCCAGAGATCTCAGAGCACTAGGGGCTTCCCTCAATGGAGCAGGATGGTTGCACCCAGAGGCCCCTCTCAAAGGGAATATGAAAAGTGAAGGCAGAAGTGAGCAGGCAGAACAGGCCGGCATCCACGGCCGGAAAGCCCCGGGGGGAGCCACCCTCACTGGAGGAGCCCCTGCCATGTCGAATTCATCACTTCCTCCCTGGACTCCCCAGCACCAGTCTGTCGACCGCACTCCCTGGACACCAGGCTGTAAGACTGAGCCCGTCATGTTAGGTGACATGGGGGATAGAGCCTGGGACCTGAATTCAAATCCAGCCACGGTCCCTTCCTAGTTGGGTGAGCCTGGTCTCAACCTCAGTTTCCTCAACTGTAAAATGGGATGCCGACTTCTCAGGGTTGTTAGGAGGATCCGATGGGAGAATATCTGTAAATGGTGCTTAGCACAGTCCTTGGCACACGGGAGCACTTGATAAATACCTCTCCCCTTCCCTAGGTTCTTTCCCTGGAGTCCATAAACTCATTTTAAAAATATTCTAATATCTGTGTTTCATCAGAACAGGTTTCCTTCACCATTCTCAGTATTTTATTTTATGCATTTCAAATGATTATGACAAAGGATCAGCCTAGGACATCTCCATCAGACCGCCAAAGGCGTCCAGGGCACCCAAGAGGGGAAGGGCCCCTGCTCTGGTCAAATACTCTTAGGAAACCGAGGTCCAGATGGATTCATCTAGAAGGGTCAATGTGGGGAATACGTCTGTACAAATAAGAGGAAATGATAATGCTTTAAAAAAAAAAAAAAGGAAGAAGAAGAAATGAAGCCCAGAGAGGGCAGGGATTCACCCAAGGTCACATAGCACAGCTTGAATCTGAACCTTCATTTCCTGACCCTCAGCCGTGGGCAGCCTGCCCCAGATAGTGGAACAATTCAGGGTGATAGCGAGAGAAACTGAGGACCCTTGGGCCCCACTGGTCTGTTTGGGCTCTGGATCATTTCTTCGCACTGTTCATTCAACAAACTCTCTTTGAGCACCTCCCACCAGGCACCCACCAGGTGGTAAGCGTGCAACTGAATTCCCAGCACAGGGTTATGGGCATTCAGAGGATCTGAGAGCTGGCTTCTGTTGAGTCAGTGTGCAAGGCAAAGGGATGGCAAGGGGAACGGATCAAGGGAAGCTTTATGAAAGGAGAGGCAGCATTTCAATTAGGCCTTGCAGTTGGATTTTGAACCAGTAGAGATGGAGAAGGAATCCCTGGAGTAGGGGACAGTGTGAGCACCTGCACAGAGGTGGGAAAGTATGGTAACATATGGTAACATTCAACCAACCCGGCTGGAGTTGGGAGTCTGTGTTAGGATGCAGCTGAGAGATAAGGCTAGAGACAGGCTACAGCCAGATCATGAAAAGCCTAGAACGGTGGGACCAGAAAGCTGCTGAGGGGTTTGGAGACAGGCGTGGTTTGGTAGAAAGAGCCCCACCTGCGGGTTCACACTCCAGCTCTACTACTGGTCAGGCACCCTGTAAGACCCTGACTGGTCACGTCGGGCCTTCCTCTCACCCCCAAACAAAAGTCAACTCGTATGTACTTGGTATGTATTTGTTTACAGATAGAAGGTAAGCTTCTCGAGGGGAAAGTCTGGTTCCTTTCTGTCTCAGTATTCCCGGTGAATAGCACACAGCAGGCACTTAATAAATGCTTGATACACTAAAGTGAACATGATAGGGTCATTTCCTTTCTTCTTGTAACAGGAACACAAACACCCCTTCCTTCCCCCTCCTGTGAAATAATCCTTGCCCTCAAGAAGCCTATATTCTAATGGGGGGGGGCAACATGTACGTTGGGCGCTAGGTGGTGCCATAGTGCACAGAGAGCTGGGCCTGGAGTCAGGAAGACTCAGCTTCCTCAGTTCAAATCTCACTCCAGACACGTACTAGCTGTGTGACCCTGGGCAAGTCACTTCACCATGTTTGCCTCAGTTACCTCACCTGTAAAATGAGCTGGAGAAGGAAATGGCAAACCCCTCCAGTATCTCTGGGGTCATGAAGACTCAATTCTGACTGAAATGATGAAACAACAGTATGTGCATAGATGGGTACGTGCAGAAAAGACACACAATGAACAGGAGGTTGTTTCGGCTTAGAGAGGGGCTTCAGAGAGCCTATCTAAGGACAACAAGCACAGGGTAGGGCCCACTCTGGTCAGCAGAAGAAAGTGGACAAGACACTGAATTTGGAGTCAGGATGACTGGGTTCCAACCCCACCTCTGACACTAGCTGTGTGACCCATGGGGAGACACTTAATGTCTCCCAGCCTCAGTTTCCCCCTCTGTAAGATGAGGGGGTTGGACTCGATAATGTCTAAGGTCCCTTCCAGCTCTGAATCCTATGGTCCCATAGGCTGATTGGTTGAAGGAATTGGGGCTGTTTAACCTGGACAAGAGAAGCCATGTGTGTGTGTGTGTGTATGTGTGTGTGTGTGTGTGTGTGTGTGTGTGTGTGTGTGTGCAGGTATGGGCACGCGCATGTGCACGTGCACATTTTTGTTGTACTCAAATGTCTGAAGAGCTGTCATATGGAGGAGAGATTCGACCTGTTCTGTTTGGCCCCAGAAGACCCACCCAGGAGCCACGAGAGGAAGCTGTGACAAAGCTTGGATGACATTCTCATCATTAAGAACAGTCCCCACATGGGGTGGGCTGCCACTGCAGATGGGGCTCCTCCCCCGCCATGGGAGGTCTTCAGGCAGAGGCTGGATGCCCACTTGCCAGGCCTGTGGCAGAAGGGACTTAGGTCGAGATGGCTTCTGAGGTCCCTGCCAACTCCCTAAGATTCTGACACAAATGCTTTATAAACCCACAAAGCAACCCAGAAATGCCAGCCACAATGAGGGCTGCATCTTGGTATGCCTAAACGGGGTTCTGGGGAGAGCTGCGTGGAGGAGAGATGGGAGAAGCAAGAGCCTGGGGAAACGAAGGCCAGGCAGGAGGCTGCTGCCAGTCCAGGAGACAGGGGACCAGGGTGGGCACAGGGATGAGGACAAGGGCATGTGGGTCCCTTCCCTTCTGGAAGGAGAAGCCCGACCTTCTCTTAGCCCCACAGACAGTCTCCAAGGTCCTAGAGACACTGGGCCTTCCCCCAGGCCTCGGTCTTGAGGAGGCTGAGACCGGCCGCCTCTGTCTCGAAGCCTGCCTGACATATCAGCCCATCCTGGCTGACCAGCCAGAGGATGCCCCGCTGAGGTTCCAGGCCAGGGCCTGGCCTCCCTGGCAGTTGCCAAGGTGGAAGGCACAGGCGTAAGTTGACAATCCACCTAGGCACAGGTGTAAACTGACAAACCCAAGCCTGCTTCCCAGCTGAGGACCCGAGAACTCTCAGCAGGGGAGGGGGCCTGGCAGCCACGGGCTCCAGAGACCTTCCAGAAACACGAAGCCTTCCTGTTTGCATAGGTGGGGACATTCATGGGACCTAGACTTGAATCCAACCTCTGACACACACACCAGCTGTGTGACTCTGGGCAGGACATCTCCAGGCCTCAGTTTCTCCAACAATAAAATGGGTATAATAATTCCAATTTGACCTCTATGCCCAGATTAGCATGTGGCCCAAATGAGACGTCTGTAAAGTGCTAGGAAAACCTCAAAGCCCCATGTAAATGTCAGGTGCTTTAGGGCACTAGGGGTGGACTTGGAAGGTAAGGCCCAAGTTTGAATCCTACCTCATATACTTAGCAGCTCTGTGAGACTGGGTAAATCAAGCCACCTCTCTGTGCCTCAGTTTCCTAAGCTATAAAATGGGCAGAATAAGATCTGGAGGATCGTCCAGGGTTGCTGTGGGGCCCAAAGTGCTCGGGTTAAACCTTAAGGCGTCATAGAAATACAACTAGTTACTGTTGTAATCATTCCTCTGCTATTATTATTAATTATCATAATAAATAATAGAGAGAGACAGTGGGGCCCAGCAGACAGAGGGCCGGCCTATAGAGCTCCTAGGCTCTGGCTCTGACTCCTGAACACGCTTGCTATGTGACCCTGGGCCAGTCACTGACCTCTCGGCGCCCAGGACCCTCACCCTCAGGCCAATCCTGCTGCCTAATGACGGCCCTTTGAGTACCAGCAGCCAGAGCCCCTCCCCGCCCCCAGTCCTCCTTTCTTCCAGCTCACTATTCCCAGTTCCTTCCATCCATCTTAACATGACTTAGGCCTACTATACTCTCTCCTCATCCTTAACCCCTCTGTGCCTCAGTTTATCAACGGAGAAATGAAGGGGGTTGGGCTCAGTGGTTTCTCCATACAGGACAGAGAGCGGGGCCTGGAGTCAGGAAGGCCTTACTTACCAGGGCTGTGACCCTGGCCACATCACTCAGCCCCTCTGGGCCTCACTTTACTCTTCTGTAAAATGGGAGGGCTGCGCTGGGTGACTGAAGCCCCTTCCAGTCCTTAATCCAGAGGAATCCAGAGATGTTATTCCCATTCGAGAGAGGAGGACGTTGAGGCCCAGAGGGGAGGCGGCTGGAAGGCGGGAGCCCCAGCTGCGACACTCTGCCGAGACCCTTGTCTGGGCCACGGTCTCCTCCTCTCCATTTCTGAAATCTTTCTTTTCTTTTCTTTTTCATTTGACAAACGTTCCTTTCCTCTCCCTCCAGCGCCTCCATATGTCTCACTAATGACGGACTACAGCACACACTCCTGGAGCACCCTGAGGTCTGCAGACCTCATTCCCTTGGAGCCTCACGGCATCCCTGGGGAGCATCCCCATTTCACAGGTGGGATAACTGAGCCTGGGGTTAGGCAGGTTCCCTGGGGACCCACAGCCAGGAAGGGGAAGAGCCAGGAGACAATAAGGTCTCCCGATTCCCAATAGAGCACTGGACGCTGCTCTTGCTCTGACATCCTGTGATTCTGTGGTTTGTCCGATTAATAAGTGATGGCAGAGCTGAGAAGGGACCTAATGATGAGGCCTCCCCCCATTTTACAGAAGAGGAAACTGAGGCCCAGAGCTGGTAAGTGACTTTCCCACACAGCTAATAGTGACAGGCAGGATTTGAACACAGGTCCTTTGACTCTAGCACCATGGCTCCCAAGTTCATCCTACTCGGATGGCCATCCTGTGTCTCCCCTGCCACCAGAGGCTAGAAGGGGCAATTCAAGGAGAAAGAGGGCACAATGGACTTGGGAATGCCAGACTTGGAATTAGGAAGCCTTGAGTTCAAATCTGACTGTAGATACCAACTAACTGTGTGACCCTGGGTTAGTCATTTAACCTCTCTGTTTGCCTCAGTTTCCTGATCTGTAAAATGGAGACAAAAACAGCACCATGAGATAATAACTGTAAGTACTTAGCACAGTGCGTGGCACATAGTGGAAGCTATATAATATTATATATATAATATAATATATGATATAATAATAATAATAATAATAATAATAATATAATTATATATAATAACTACTACTATTACTGTTATCAGCCGATGGAGATGGGCAGCTAGGGGGCGCCATAGCGCACACAGCACTGGGCCTGGAGTCAAGAAGACTCGTCTTCTGAGCTCATCTGCTCTCAGACATTTACTAGCCGGGTGACCCTGGGTAAATCACTTGACCCTGTTTGCCTCAGTTTCCTCCTCTGTAAAATGAGCTGGAGAAGGAAATGGCAAACCACTCCGGTATCTCTGCCAAGAAAACCCCGGATGGGATCATGGAAGGTCAGACACCACTGAAAAAGGATGCGGCTATAACAATGATAATATTGCCCTATCATGCCACCCTTACTCAGTAAACTCCCATGGCTCCCTATGGCCTCCAAATCCCTGCATGACCTGCCCCCCTCCCTTTCCTGCCTTCTCACACCTGGCTCCCCACCCCGTCCTCTTCCATCCAGTGCCCCGGCCTCCGTCTCCCAGCTCCGGTCTTTGTCTCTGGCCATCCCCCAAGCCTGGACCGCTCTGAGCACTGACCTCCCGGCTTCCTGTAAGCGCCAACCAAAATCCCACCTTGCACAGGATGCCCAGGCCCTCTCAATCCTAGCACCTTCCCTCTTATTTTCTGTTTATCTGGTACCTAGCTCGCTTTCTACATATTTGTTTGCATGTCTTCTCTCCCATTCGATTGTAAGCCCTTTGAGGACAGGGATTATCATCTGCCTCTTTTCATATCCCTTGAGCTTAGCACTGTGCCCAGAACGCAGGAGGTGTTTCATAAACGCTTAATGCCCAGCTGGCTTTCAGAAGCTGTGCAGGCCAGGGGGGGCCTGGCTGGGGGAGGGGGATCAGCTGTTACCTGCCCTTGTGTGGCCGGCTCCTCTCGGGGACCCCCGCAGGCAGCCTCCGGGTCACTGTGGAGTAGTCCGGGTCCAGTTCGTAGCCTTCATCATCCACCCCCAGGCTCCTGTTGTCGTCCTCGAGCCCGTAAGGCTCAGGCTGGAACCTCTCGGGCTGAGAGCGGCTGCTCACGGTGAGGTCCGGGCCGCTGCCCACGGGGGGCACCTGGGGCTGGGCACCAGGCGGCCCGTAGGCCTCCCTCCGGCTCGGCAAGGTGTAGCTGCCGTCCTCGGGCCGGTAGCTGTTCCCGGGGACGTAGGCGTAGCGGGGCCGGTAGCCGATGCCGCGGGACAGGCTGCCGTAGCCGTCGGGCAGCTCGGCGCCCCCATAACCGCCGCTGGCGTCGTGGGCGTGGAAAGAGCGGTAGGGCCCGTCGGGGCCCTCCCCGTAGCTGTTGTAGGAACGCGTCAGGGTGGAGGAGGCCTGCGGCGGGAGGTAGCGTTCGCCGTTCTTCAGGTATCGCCGGTCGATGGAGTCCGTGTAGCTGCCCAGGGGGGACGAGCCATCCAGGACCGGGAGCCCGTCGGGCCCCAGGGGAACCTGGCGCACTGTCCTCGTGGTCACCGTCTTCACCATCTTGGTGACCTGCAAGGCAGAAGGCCACCATCAGCTGGATTCATTGGACTGAGCGTGTCAAGAGCCCCCGGACCATCCGGCCCAACCCCTGAATTCTCATTTTCCAAGTTTTCTCAGGGTCTTTTCTCAGTGTCTCACCAATGCTCCTTAATGCCTGAGCCCTGATCCCAGCCACCTAGGGAGCCTTCCCTTGTAACAGAGAAAATCCGTTAGAGCAAAAGCATTGGACATATCAGCTGTGATTCATGGGGTATACCATATTCTGCACCCATAGGCCCTCGCCTCTGCTGAGAGAAGTATATCAACAGATGAGGAAAAATGAAGTCCAATGGAAACAGTGGGATTCAAACCCAGGCCACAAGACCATAGATTTAGAGCAGGAAAGAACCTTGGTGATCAGCTAGTCTAAGCCACCATTTTAGAGAGAAGGAAACTGAGGCCCAGATGGATGGATGGATGGATGATGACGTAGCTCCCCCAGGTAGTGAGTGGCAGAGCTGGGATTTGAATTCAGGGCCTCTGATATCCAAATCCAGGGCTCTCTCCAGCACGTCACTCGGCGCTCACCTTTGTGCTAACCCTATAGAGTCATTGTGGACCCTTCATTGTTTTGGGACGTGGGCTCTTTCTCTGGATAAATTGTTATCAGAGGCAAAAGCCTTAGTTTTGGAGTTGACCGGCCTGGGTGCAAGTCCATTTACTTGCTGTGTGACCTGGGGCATATCCCTTCCCTTCCCTGGGACTCAGTTTTCTCCTGTGTACAATGGGCTTCACCATCCTCACGTTCCCTCCCTCACAGGCCTGTCGCAAAGAAGGTGTTTTGGAAAGTTTAAAGCGTCGCATGAATTGGGATCATTTTTAGCACAGGTTTCCAAGCTGAGTCAGCCAGTCCAGGAAGCCTGCACAAGCACGCCCGGTCACAGCGTAGGAGGCTCCCATCCCGGTGGTCCTTCATTTCCATTAAAGCAGGGTCCTGGCTGCGGAGCAGCCCCAAGCCTCCTCTTTTCTGTTAACACAGCAACCAAATGCACCATTTCCCAAGCATGGGGAAATGGGTGGGTGGGCAGATGCCAGGCTGTTTTGTGGGCAGTTATAAAACAGACCCAGGGCCAGAGGAAGCACTCAGGGTAAAAGCATCCTGGGGCTCCCAGAGGCTGATCACTGAACTGTCAGGGCCAGTGTAGGCCAAATGGGCTCGGGCCATTAGGGCTCTGAAGGGAAAGTGGTGGGGGGAAGGAGGCCCCAACCCTCACCCTCACCCCCATACTCTTTCCTGTGCTAGTTTGCAGCAGACACCTCAGGTCCCCGCATAGTAGCCAAAGGTCAGTGTCTAGGAGTGGGCAGCCTCGTGCCAGTATCCACCAGGAGAGGGGCCATTTATGACCACTTCCCATCCTCCCTGGGCGACCCCTCCAGCCTTCACAGGGCTTTCATAGGCCCTAGCTCATCTCCTCCTCAGGTGGAGGGGTGAGGGAGGGAAAAAAGGAAGGAAGGAAGGAAGGAAGGAAGGAAGGAAGGAAGGAAGGAAGGAAGGAAGGAAGGAAGGAAGGAAGGAAGGAAGGAAGGAAGGAAGGAAGGGAAGGAAGGAAGGAAGGAAGAAGGAAGGAAGGAAGGAAGGAAGGAGGGAAGGAAGAAGGAAGGAGAAGGAAGGAAGGAGGAGGAGGAGGGAGGGAGGGAGGGAGGGAAGGAGGGAAGGGAGGAGGGAAGGGAGAAGGAAGGAAGGAAGGAAGGAAGGAAGGAAGGAAGGAAGAAGGAAGGAAGAAGGAAGGAAGGAAGGAAGAAGGAAGGAAGGAAGGAGGGAGGGAAGGAGGGAAGTAAGGAAGGCAGGCAGGAAGGAAGGAAGGAAGGAGGGAAGGAGGAGGGAGGAAGGGAGGAGGAAGGAAGAAGGAGGGAGGAAGGAGGAAGTAAGGAAGGCAGGCAGGAAGGAAGGAAGGAAGGAGGAAGGAGAGGGAGGAAGGGAGGAGGGAAGGAAGAAGGAAGGAGGAGGGAGGAGAAGGAAGAAGGAAGGAGGGAGGAGGAAGGAAGAAAGGAAGGAAGGATGGATGGAAGGAAGGAAAGAAGGAAGGAAGGAGGAGGAGGAGGAAGGAGGGAGGAAGAAGGAGGAGGAGGGAAGGAAGAGGAAGGGAAGGGAAGGAAGGAAGGAAGGAAGGAAGGAAGGAAGGAAGGAAGGAAGGAAGGAGGAAGGAAGGAAGGAAGGAAGGAAGGAAGAAGGAGGAGGAGGGAAGGAAGGAAAGAAGGAGGGAAGGAAGAAGGAAGGAGGGAGGGGAAGGAAGGAAGGAGGGAGGAGGAGGGAAGGAAGGAAGGAGAAGAGGAGGAGGGAGGAAGGAGGAAGAAGGAAGGAAGGAAGGAGGGAAGGAAGGAAGGAGAAGGAAGGAAGGAGGGAAGGAAGGAAGGAGGGAGGAGGAGAGGGAGGGAGGAGGGAGGAAGGAGGAAGGAAGGAGGGAGGAGGGAGGAGGGAGGAAGGAGGAAGGAAGGAAGGAGGAAGAAGGGAGGGAGAAGGAAGGAAGGAAGAAGGAGGGAGAAGGAAGGAAGGAAGGAAGGAGGGAAGGAAGGAAGGAAGGAAGGAAGGAAGGAAGGAAGGAAGGAAGGAAGGAAGGAAGGAAGGAAGGAGAAGGAAGGAGGAAGGAAGGAGGGAAGGAAGGAAGGAAGGAAGAAGGAAGGAAGGAAGGAAGGAAGGAGGAAGGAAGGAAGGAAGGAAGAGGAAGGAGGAAAGGAAGGAAGGAAGGAAGGAAGGAGGAGGAGGAAGGAGGGAGGGAAGGAAGGAAGGAAGGAGGGAGGGAAGGAAGGAAGGAAAGAAAGAAGGAGGGAAGGAAGGAAGGAAGGAGGGAGGGAGGGAGGGAGGGAGGGAGAAAGGCACAGACTGTCCCAATTTCACAGCATCACCAAGTCTCAAAACCTAAAAGTTGGAAGGCCCTTCCAAGATCTCCTGGTTCACACTGCACTGGGTGGGTTTTTTTTTTTTAATAAATCAACAAGCATTTATTAAGCACTTACTGTGTCCTTAAGGCGCCTACAGTCTAATGGGGGAGACACATTGGCACACATGAGATCTCAGGCTGGGCTCCATCACTGTAAGGTCAGCTCTAGCAAGCACACTCACACCACATCTCTTGCTTTCTTTTCTCTTAGGAGCCAGGCAAATTCGACCCTCCCTTGATCCTTGAATAGGCCTTGTCCTCTCCAGCCACTAGGCCTTTGCCCAGGCTGTTCCTCTGCCAAGGGTGCCATTCCTCTCCCATCTCTGCTGTAGAAATAATGCCAGCCTCCCCCACAGCTCAGAGTGACCTCTCAGCAGACACTTCCCTGGATGCCTCCTTCCCCCACGCACTCCTGGTGTCTTCTCATGCATCTCCACAACATACCTGACGAGGGTAAGTAACTCACTGCTCTGATGCGGGGCAAAGAGAACTGGACTTAGAGTCAAGAGGACCTGGGTTCGAATCTAGTTTCTGTCACTTACTACCTGTGTGATTCTGGCAGCTGGTGACACAGTGGATGGAGCCCCTCTCCCCTTCCTTCCTCTCTTCCCTTTTCTTCCTTCCTTCCCTCCTCTCCTCCCTCCTTCTTTCCTTCCTTTTTTCTTTCCTTCCCTCCCTCCTTCCTCCTTCCCTTTCTTCCTCCCTCCCTCTCTTCCTTCCTTCCTCACTCCCTCCCTCCTTCCTTCCTCCCTCCCTCCTTTTTTCCTCCCTCCCTCCCTTCCTCCCTCCTTCCTTCCTTCCCTCCTTCTTTCCTTCCTTCCTTCCTTCCTTCCTTCCTTCCTTCCTCACTCCCTCCCTCCTTCCTTCCTCCCTCCCTTCCCTTCTTCCTTCCTTCCTCCCTTTCCTCTCTCCCTTCCTTCCCTTCCTTCCTCCCTCCCTCCTTTTTTCCTCCCTCCCTCCCTCCCTCCCTCTTTCCTTCCTTCCCTTGCTCCCTTCCTCCCTCCCTCCCTCCTTTCTCCCTCTCTCCTTCCTTCCTTCCTTCCTTCCTTCCTTCCTTCCTTCCTTCCTTCCTTCCTTCCTTCCTTCCTTCCTTCCTTCCTTCCTACCTCCCTTCCTCCCTCTTTCCTTCCTCCCTCCCTCCCTCCCTTCCTCCCTCTTTCCTTCCTTCCCTTGCTCCCTTCCTCCCTCCCTCCCTCCTTCCTTCCTTCCCCCCTCCCTCCCTCCTTCCTTCCCTCCCTCCTCCCTCTCTCCCTCCCTCCCCATCCCCTCTCTGGGTCTCTGTTTTGTCACCTCCCATTAGACTGGAAGCTCTTTGAGGGCAGGGGATGCTTTGGCCTTTTACTGTATGCACAATGCTTGGCATGGAGTAGGTGCTTAATAAAGGCTCTTGCATTCATTCATTCATTTACTCAGTTAACAACAGGCTCCCTCACAACAGGTAAAAGGAAGCTCTTGGACTGGGTCTCCCCAAGGTTCTTTCCAACTCTCAATCCACAACCTCCTATGACTGCATGACTTGGGCTACGTCACTTTCTGCTCTGGGCCTCAGTCTCCTCATCTGCAAAATGAGGGGGTTGGGCCGGATGGCCCCTGAGGACCCCTCCCACTTTGGATCTAGGGTCCTAATAACCTTCTGGTCTGCCCTGTTTTCTGTCACCCTAGAACAACTGACCCTGTCTCAGATACGCCCCTGGCCCCCTCAGGCCTTGGAGCCTCTGAGAAATCCTGCCGTCAGCACTGCCCGCACGCCATGCCACCCCCGGCCCTGGCTCAGAGGCCTGCGGCGTCACCACCGCCAGCCAGGCCCCATCTGCTGCCACGTTCCTGGGGTGGCTGGAGGGCAGAGAACACAGCCCTCATTCTGGGCCTATTCTGGGCCAGCCTCCTCACGTAGGTGGCCTCCGGGGGAAGGGGTCCCAGGACCCTGGGCTCGTGCCATCTTCCCCGCGTCCCATCTGCCCGTCTCTCTTCCGTCTCACCAAAGAAGCACATGTTGATAAGATGGGGGGATGGGGAGTGGGCTCAAACAAAAGAGCCGCTCTGAAGGCAGGCTTGGCTCTATTAGTCGGTCAACAAACAGAAATTCCTCTGTTGTTACTCATTATCTGAGGGACTGTGAGGGCCTCTCAGTCTCAGCTTCCCACTTTTCCATTCCAGGCCTCTGTTTCCTCAACAATAAAATAAGGAAATTGGGCCAGAATTGCTGAAGTACCTCGGTCCTCCCACAGGACCTTTCACTGCCCACCTCCAGGCCTTTGTCCTCTTCCTCCCATCCACCGCCTCCTGGAATCTTTGGCTTCCCTTAAGACTCAGTCAAGCTGAGTTGAGTGCCACCTCCTCCAGGGGGCCTTCCGTGCCCTCTACTCCCTCCCAGCTCCTCCTGTCTTATTCTGATCTGCTCTGATCTATGTCCAGGTTATCACCTCCCATCAGACTGGAAGCTCTTTGAGGGCAGGGGATGTTTTGGCCTTTTACTGTATGCACAATGCTTGGCATAGAGTAGGTGCTTAATAAAGGCTCTTGCATTCATTCATTCATTTACTCAGTTAACAACAGGCTGCCTCACAACATGCTTGGAGCCCGCCAAGGTCAGGGAGCTCACCACCTCCCACGGCAGCCCCGTTCTACCTTGGGGCAGCGCTCACTGGGAGGAAGTCAGCTCTGACGTCGGGCCTACCTCTGCCGCTCCTGGGTCAGCCCTCTTGGGCTGAGCAGACCAAGAACTGAACCTCTTTCCGTCGGCCCACCCTCTCCTCCCCCCAACTCTTCTCGTCTTGGGGCTGACCATCCATCCTGGTCATCCTTGGCTTGTCAATGGCAGTCAGTCAGTCAGTCAGTCAGTCAGTCAGTCAGTCAGTCAGTGAACGTTTGCTAAGCACCTACTGTGTGCTAGGTCACCTGACCAGGGCTGTGTCACTGGCCTCCGGGGACCCTTCTGGATCTATGAGTGTCCAGAGGAGGGAAGACAGGATGGGGAGGGCCTGGAGGCCATGGCAGATCGCTCACTCACGCATTAAGCACCTACTGTGTGCTGGGCCCTAGGCTAAACACCAGGATCACAAAGAGGGAGCACAGACCAGTCCCCGCCCTAGAGGGGTACATCCGTCTGAGAGTCAGTGAAAGCAAGCTAAGTAGAGAAGAAAGAAGTGAGGGTACCAGCGGCTGGGAGCATCAGAGAGGCCTCTTGGAGGAGGTGGTACGTGAGCCGAGTCTTAAAGAAAGCCAGGGATTCTAAGAGTTGGAGGTTGGGAGGGAGGGCATGCCAGGTGTGGGGAACAGCCAGGGCAAAGGCACGGAGGTGGGAGAGCTGGAGCGGCATGGGTGAGAACTGGCCAGCTGGCCGACGGGGCTGGATCGCAGAGTGAGGGCAGGGGAGCAGAACATAAGCGGGCTAGAAAGCGAAGACGGTGGGGAGAAGGATTGAAGGAAGTAGAAGGCTCAGGGTAGGCGTGGGGGATCAAGATGGCTTCCTAAGGGCCACCCTGGGAGGAGAGGGCAGAATCAGGAGCATTGGGTGGAGACTGAAAAGGAGCTTGGGGTCAGGGGAGACCTGCTAACATGGAGAGCTGTCTCTCCTCATCTGAATGTAGGCTCCGGGAGGGCAGGCACTCTGTCTTCACTTGTATGTCTGTATGTCCGGGACTTAGCCTCATGCCCAGCACTCAAGAGGTACTCGGGGCCTTGGCCTGGCTGGCCACGTTTAAGCCCAGCCTGGAGGACCGCCGGTCGGCTCTGTTCACCTGAGGATGCCCTTTTGTGTCTGCTGAGGACCCGGTTGGAGCCAGCTGAAACGGCCTGCCCAATGTTACGGAGGAGAGAGGCCTCGAACCCGGGGGGTCTTGAAGCTAGGCCCAGCACTGGGCCCCTCCTCACCTTCTCTACCCCCTTGTCCTTCACCCGCCCTGGAGTGCTAACACAGCCAGAGACATGGTGGCCTCGGGGCAATTTGACCAGATAGGTTGGTTCAACAGAAGGCAGTTTGGCTTTGCAGTCAGAAGATCCGGATTCGAATCCAAACCTAACCCTTCCTAGAGGCGTGACTGAGGACAGGCCACTTACTTCACCTCATCAGCCTTAGTTACCCTGTCTGCAAAATGGACGTAATAATCTCAGCACTGCTTCCCTCGTCACTGGGTGGCTGTAAATGTTTATGGGCCACAGAAACGCGCTCGTGATTCCAAATCATTAACATTATCACACGGTATTTTTCAAAATCACGAACGTCCTTCATGGTATTACTCTGAAGCGGTTGAAAACGAAGGGGAAGAAAGAGGGGTTCTCACGAGCATCACCCCCCCACCCGGCAGAGGGGGCTCATTTCCTGAGTGAGCCTCTGTCCGTGGCCTCAGCTTGGCCCCTGCCATCTGCGCTGTGGCTCGTGTGGGTATTGGCAAGGCTGTGCTTGGTCCTCGGTGACCTGCCCCACTTCCCCGGCCCTCCTGGGGCTCTGGCCATGGGCTGACTCAGCAGCCACCATGGGCATGCCCTCCCAGCTGTTATGAGGGAAAGCTGGAAGGCCCGGCCTGGCACCTCAGCTCTGAGGGTTAGCAGCTGGCCAGCCCATCCTGGGAGAGTCAAGAGTCCTGCTTCTGGCGCTTAACTAGCTGTACGACAAAGGGAAAATCACTTAATCTCTCTGAGTCTTAATCTTAATCTGTAAAATGGGGGTGGGGTGGAATCAATAGGAGGCGAGGTATACAAAACACTGGACCTGGGGTCAGAAGGACCCAAGTTCAAATCTAGCACCAGACACTTAAGAGCTGTGTGACCCTGGACAAGGCATTTAACCTCTACTTGCCTCAGTTTCCTCATCTGTAAAGTGAGGACAATAATAAAGAGAGGAAAATAGTAATCTGTAAAGTGAGGACACCAACCTTCTTAATGAATTAATATAGGTAAAGCATTTTGCAAATCTACAGCCCAGTAAATGCTAACTACTGATAATTATCAGTAAATGCTAGTTCCAAGGTCTCAAGATGCACACCTCTATGATTTAGAGTCAAAAGAACTGGGTTTGAATCCTGGCTCTGCTATCATAGCCTGTGTGACCTTGGCTAAGTGGATCAACCTCTCTGGGCCTCGGTTTTGTCCTCTGCAAAATGAGGGGTTTGGATCAGATGGTCTCTAAGTCTTCCAGCTTGAAGTCTGTGACTGGACAAACTCACTTAACTCCTCTGAGCCCTCATGGAGGATAATTCTTAGCGAGGTGGCACAGTGGATAGACTGATGGGCCTGGAGTAAGGAAGACCTGAATCCTCATCAACTCATTAACTGTGTGACCCTGGGCAAGTCACTGTTTGCCTCAGTTTCCTCATCTGTAAAGTGAGCTGGAGAAGGAAATGGCAAACCACTCCAGTATCTCTGCCAAGAAAACCCCAAATGGGATCGTGAAGAGTCAGACGTGACTGAAATGACTGAGTAAAAGGCCTTGAACAACCTTGTTAATAAAGGGAAGGGCTTTGCATGTCTTAAAGAATGAGATAATGTGGAAGGAGCCCAGCACATAGTACGTACTTAATAAATGTTTACTGGTTATTTATTTGGCGCCAGACAACATCAGAGGATCCCAAGACCATCCCTCTAGAGCTGGAATGGTCTTTCGAGGGCCTCGAGTCCAATTTTACAGAGGAGGAAACTGAGGCTCAAGGCAGGGGAATGACTTGGCCAAGGTCATACAGACTGTAAAGCCAAGGTCCAAATCTAGGTCCTGAGACTCTAAATTCAGTACCCTTTACTTGCTACCACTCCAGATGTAGGTTTGAGTTCTGTGTGACCCTGGGTAAGTCCTTCATCTTCTCTGGGACTTTGTTTCCTCATCTGTAAAAAGAGGATAATACTAACACCTACTTCCCAGGGTTGTTGTGAGACTCAGATGAGATAGTATTTGTAAAGCACAGTGCCTGGCACATAGCAGGTGCTTAATAAAAATCACGCACTGGCAAATCATTTCCCCTTCCCTGTGCCTCGGTTTCCCCTTCCCTAAAATGAAGCAGACCGCCTCTCGGGTCCCTCCTCCCAGTCCTAACTCCTCTCATCCTGGGGAGACCCGAGCTCCCGTCCCTGCGTGACTCTCTTCCTCTGGGCCGGAACGGTTGATTGCTGCAGCCCTAACGCTGTTTGTCTAAGGGGTCTCCGCTTCCCCCAGATGCCCGGGGTTGGCAGACTTTCTTCTGGCCCTCGACTTCCAGCTGTTGTCTTTGGTGGATCCTGCCCAAGGAACGGCCAGGTGCCAGGGACAGAGAACCCTGCCTGGGATTGGTTGGAGAGCTGGCTAGGCCATTGCCTTCCTGGGTGACCTCAGGCAACCTCACCGAGCCTCAGTTTCCCCATCTTTAAAAACAAATCTTTTCCCCTTCCCATTGTTGCCAAAGAGATCTCTTCCTACAGTCTCCATTCTAGACAAATGGGCCCCCCATCCTCCCAAATGAAGATTCCCAGCTATGGGGGTTGGGGGAGAGGTGTCCTCCGGCAGGCCCTCTTACCTTGGTCTCTGTCCTCCGGGTGGTCCCATCCTCAGACGTGACGATGGACACGTGGGACGTGGGCGTGCCTGGGTCTTCCTCCACCGTCACCGTCTCCTCGACCATCTCCTGGGGCTCCTGCATCATTGCCAGGGATGTTTGATTGCCTGGACTTTGTTCCTAGGACACAGAGAAGGGACGGGTACTCAGAGGCTGCCCTGCCTGGATGCCGTGGGGGAGGTACTGACCCCCCAAACACACATGCAAGCCCTTGGCCATGGCTGCCGGCCAGCCATCTTTGAGTCCTTCTCCTCCAGGACATGGCCACAGCCAATCAGAGAAGCATTCTCCCGGGAGACTGGAAGCTCCCTGAGGGCAGGGATGGTGCCCTCTACACTTTGTACAATGGCTAGCATACAGTAGGTGTTTAATAATGTGCCTCCTTCCTATCTTTCTGGTCTTCTCACACATTAGTCCCCTCCATGCTATCTACTGTCAGTAAATCAGTCAACAAGCATTTAGTAAGCGCCTACTGTGTGCCAGGCACTGTGTGTCCAGCTGTTCTGCCTGGCATCTTCATGCCTTTGCACTGGCCGTCCACCATGACTGGAGGCGTCTCCTCCTCACCTCCACCTCTAAGAGTTCTCAGTTCCCTTCGAGGGCCTCTCCAGGGCCTTCCCCAGTCATCGCCTTCTGTCTACACTGGATGTATCTTGTATGAACCTAGTTATTTAAACGTCGTCTCCTCTGTTAGAATGGGAGGGCAGGGGCTGTTCTGTTTCCTTTGTCTCCCCACAACATTGGGAAGTACGCGGCTCATGGGCGGCACTTAATAACTGATGTTTTATTGACTGGTTTAGTCCACTCTCCCCTAATGAAATATAAACTCAAGGACACAGATTGTTAGGCATCCTTGCTCCCACAGGGTCTGGTGTATACATCGAGCGCTTACTAATGCTTGTTGAATTAAATCCAGCTAATTATTTACAGCATTTGGCCCAGGACCAGGACCTGGCCTTCATCACCCTCCCTTTCATTAGGGGGTTTGTCCCAAGGCAGCCCATAAACCCGGGCATAGAACTAACAGGGAGATCCAGCCTCAGTGGCCCTATCTGCACCTCCCCCGGCTCCTGGATCTGCCCTCTGGGGCCAAGGAGACTGAGGCTCATCCTCCCTCCAAAGGGCACCTTCAGACACTGCAACACGGCTCCCAAGTCCCTGGAGTCTCCTCTGCTCCAGGTAAAGAGCCTCCCCTGCATCAGCTTATGACTGCCAATCCCCTCCCCACGCTTGTCCACGTCTTTGCTGGAGTCAGGCACCCAGAACCAGACAGATACCTTCCTCTGTTAGAAGTAAGCTTCCCGAGGGCGGGGCCTTTCCTTCCTCTCTGTTCCTCTCCCTCCAGGGCCAAGCACAGAACCTTGGACCTGATAAGTGCCTAATAAATGCCTGTCAATCTGTCCGTGAGCATTTATCTAGCACTTACTGTATGTCAGCTCTGTGATAAGTTCTGGGAATACACAGACAAAAATGAAACATCCCCTGCCTCCAAGGGGCTTATCACCTGCCTATGAACGTACACAGTGATATTTACCAAAGTGATATATACCACATTACAAATAGAATTGTTGAAGTGAAATGGGAGGGCAGAGCAGTGGGGATGCTGAGAGCTGCCCTCAGCCAGGTCCCCTTCCCAGGACCAGCCCTGAATGCTGAGGGCTGGGCCAGTTTCCTCTGGATCAGAGGCTGGTTTGCCCCTCAGCTTGCACCCTGCCCGTAGGCTCCCAGGACCGTTAGGAAGCGAACAGCAGGCCCTGGACAGCCCAGCAGGGAGCTGCCCTCTCCCCCCAACATCCCCTCCCCCATTGTTAGGGCTGACCATCACCTGCCTCCAGGGGCAAAGGCTGCCCAGGGTGGGCCGGCCAGTGGTTGCAGGGTTGAGGGTCGGCCTTTGCACTGACCCTGGACCTTTACTTCCAGAGGACATCTAGCCCCCACCGCCTTCCTCTTGGGGACAGCTCTCATCCTCTGCACATCAAGCCTGCATTTACAGCTCATTCTCCACTTGGGCTTGGCCTCAGAGGGCAGAAAAAGGCTCATCCCTTTGCACAGAACAGCTCTTTAGCTCCTCGAACCCAGCTCCTGGACCCCTGACCCCAGCCTTCTCTTCTCCAGATTCAACACCTTTGCTCCTGTGACTGTTACTTATATGGCACATTCTCTGCTTTCCCGCCCATCCTCCTCCCAGCATGCTCCACCTTTTCATCGTCCTTCATACACTGGGGCACTCAGGGCTGGACACAAGACTCCGGCTGAGCTCTGACTGAGCCGGAAGGCAGCTGGGGTGCTAGGACCTTCTGCACTCTGGCCCCTCAGCCTTCTGAAATATAGCCTGCTATCTCATTACCCACCGCACCACACCACCAGGCCCTGAACTTGTAGTCCTGAGACCTGGGCTTGAATTCTGACTTGGTTGTGAACTGGCCATGTGACTGGAGGCAAATGATTTCACCTATCTGGGCCTCAGTTTTCTCATCTGTAAATGGCAGGGGTTGGGGTCAGTGGCCTCCAAGGGCCCTATGACCTTATTTTAAAAAGTATCTTGCGTACCACCTAGTCCCGAGTAGGTACTTACTGCATGCTTCCTGCCTGATAGACTCTATGCTCAAGGAGCACGGGGGCTGCCCCCGCACGGCCCCAATCCAGAGGATGTGCTGGAGAAGCCTGGAAGGTGGAACAGCCCCTTCCTCGGCTGTAAGCTCCGCGAGGGCGGATCTGACATGCACATGGGCCAGCATGGGATTCTACATTGGATGGGGCAATGGACGGATGGATGGATGGAAGGACAGATGGAAGGACAGACAGACAGATAGATGGGAAGGTGGATAGATAGATGGATGGAAAGATAGCTGGATAGATAGACAGATGGACAGACGGATATAGATATCTAAGAAAGAAAAGAGATAGCTAGATGGACGGACAGACAGATAGACAGATGTGTCAAGACAGTGATAGATAGCTAGATAGCTAGCTAGATAGATGGATGGATGGATGGATAGGTGGGTGGCAGGACAGACAGACAGATGGGCAGGTGGAGAAATAGATCAGATGGATGGACAGATAGCTGGATAGACAGACAGATGGACAGACAGATAAACAGATATAGATGGATAGATAGATATACAAGAAAGACAGATAAAAAACAGATAGCTAGATGGACAGACAGATGTGTCAAGACAGCAATAGATAGGTAGATGGATAGATGGATGGATAGATAGATAAGAGAGACAGGTGGATAGACAGACGGACAGATAGGCAAATATAGATATAGACAGATAAACAGATGGAAGGGCAAAGAGAAAAGATGGATGGATGGATAAATGGACAGACAGGTGGGCAAATGGACAATCAGATGGACGGACAGAGAGAGACAGAAAACTGAATGGATGGATGTGTTTAATTAAACTGAACATTAGCCAGGGATGAAGGGAGGGAGAGGGAGGTGCTGGGGTGAGAGGAGGCAGGGAGACAGCCTCAGCAGAGGGCAGGGGCAGGGCAGATTGAGTTTAAATAAGGAGATGAGACACCAGACTGGGCGGAGCCTCAGGTCTTTTCTTGGCCACAGGGCAGGAGGTGGAGGGGCAGCTCCCCCCCAACCAGGTGTGGCCCTAATCTGGGAAGGATGACTGCATAGGCCAGCCCCAGAGCTATGCCCCCGGAGGCCCTGGGGTTGGGCTATTTTCTACCCAGACAGTCCAGAAGCCCGGGGGAGAATGGCAAACATCTCCGGTCACTGTCACGTTGGCCTGCTGGGTGAGCCTTCCCACCCCAGATGCCAGAGGGTGGATGGGACCTCGAGGACCACTAAATCCAACCTGTATCTGAGCAAGAATCTCTCGCTAACACTCCTGACAAGTGGGCATCCAGCTCTGCTTGGACGCTGCCAGTACACCAGAAGAACCGTGAACAAAAGCTCGGCCAGAATGTAAGTGAAGACGACCCAGAAGCAGTGGAAATCCAGTGAAAGCCAATGACCAAGACTGGTGCCTGAGAACAGCTGATGGAGCACACCTCGATCTCCCAGGAGAGGTGGGGGGCTGCTGGTACTGACTGCTGAATACGCCACCAGCCCAGGCAGCCGGGGCAGCTGGCTTTGCTCCTCTTTGGCACAAAGGAAGGTTTTAAAAGGGTGTTCAGTGCGAGGTCATGCTGGGAAGTCATGCTAGTGTTAAAAAAGAAGAGGTATCCAAAAAAATCTTTTTTTGAATGACAGTGATAAGACTAGCCAGCGTTTATATACTGCTTTAAGACCCGCTTTGCGTATGATGACTCATTTGATCCTCACAACAACCTGGGGAACTGGGGATATCGTTATCCCCATTTTACAGATGGGGAAACGGAGGCAGACAGCAGTGCCGTGACTTGCCCCGGGGTCGCAGTGTCTGCAGCAGGATTCAAACTCGAGACTTCCTCGTGATGAGTTCCTCGTTCTGTCATCCACTGTGACACTAGTCGCCTCCCGTCACCTCTCAAGCCGGCCCCTTCTGCTTTTCAATTAGTCTCACTGACTAATGTTTCCTGACATTAAGCCTACATCTGAGTAAGCTCGGTGGCACACTGGATAGAACACTGGACTTTGATCCAGGAAGGTCTGAGTTCAAATCCTGCCCTAGACACCAGCTGTGTGACCGGGGGGGGAGCTCAGGTTACCTCAGTTTCCCCAACTGTCAAATGGAGATCATAATAGCCCTTACCTCATAGGGTTATTCTAAGGCTCTAGTGAGGTAAGAAATGTATGCCATTTTGTGAGCCTTCCAGTGCTCTGTTGTGGACCATCATCGCCTGCCTCTTTGCAAGCTTCTCCCTTTGCTCCGGGCTCAGCCTGCTGGGGCCAAGCCGACAAGGCTAATCCCAAGTCAATCCTCCTTTACGTGCCTCAGTTTCTTTATCTGTAAAGTGGGACAGATGGATGGAGGAAATGTCCTTTGAGATTTTCTCTTCTATCTCTCAATCTGTGATCCCATGATTTCCCCTCAGATACTCGAAAATCATTCTCACATCCCTCCGAGTCTTCGTTCTGCAGCCTAGCCATCCCCCGTTCCTTCAGGCCATCCTCTTGAGGGATTCCATTTCCCTGAGAACTTAGCTTGGCCTCAGACCAGGAGAACTGGGGGCCCCTC